GCAGATAAAACATTTATCATTCGAGCGATTTTGATCTCTCTCTCCCTCGAACCGTCGTGTTTCAACGACTCGCGCAGACAAAAAAATCCAATCAATTCTGTTTTCAATCGCCAGCGAAACTTCACTTCCAACAAAAACACCGGTTATTTAATTTCCGATCGATATAATAAATGAACGTTCGAAAGTGTAAATATCAAGATTTAAGCAATTGTTGCGTTACAACAATGTTTAATCTATTTTTTTCTGATTAAATCAAATTATGAATATTTTCGGCTCAATATTTGGAAAACTAATTTAAAACCAACGTTAAGATATACAAATTTAAATGAAATTAATTCTATTCCACAATTTGTATTTATTATGTAGAAACAGTTAGTATTGAACAAGTTATTGTACAGATATGGACTAATGACTCTTTCAGCTTTAAATTATCATCATAGATTTAACTAATTGATACATAAAAAAGCAAATACAATGAAATCACACTAATCTGTGAGGACATTTAATTAGTTTAATGTGAGAAAATTAAACTAATTAAAAGTGCTTATTATGGAAACATAATAAGCACTCTATATATAGATTAAATTCAATTACGAATCAAATTAATTATTATTACTTCGAATAAAATTTCTTGTAAATTATTATTTGAAAATTTTTATTCGATTATTGTATAAATATTTAAAACAAATATTATTTTAATTATCATAAATTTGTGAACAAACAAATACAATAATTGTCAAATCTGGTCCCGTTTCAAATATATAATTAATTTAATTAAAAATAATCAAAGTAATTGGTGAAAATCAAATAACTTATAATCAATTATTTAATTGGTTTTATGAATAATCGATCAATGAAATAAATAAATAAAAAAAAACTATATGTAACCTAGGCAATATCAAACAATAACTAACGTACTGTAAGTATCCAATTAATGAATCATTAGTTAACGTTGCATGAATCTGCCCTGCCTGCATGCGAGATTTTAAATACTCTCCTTACGTTTTTACGATTAGCTGAAAATTACCGTAATTAATAAACTGTGCGATGTGTTTGCACTTTATTAAAATATTAATAAGGAATCACGCGAAGGGTAACATATGCAAATTAATATTTTTTTAATAGCGTTTTTATGCATCCAAAACTTTGTTTATCGAGTTTAATATGCCGCATAATTAGTGTATTTTATACTAAATATAAATATGCATAAAAAATATCAGTTTGGTTTTAGAGTCTCTGTTTATGAATAATAATTTCGTTTGAACTAAAACAATTACTTTTTTTCATATATAGTAAATATATTTACATATGATTTAATATAGAGTCCTAAGATTCAAAGTAGAAAAAAGATTTAGTCCATTCACCTTTATATGCACTTTTCTATTAAAGTTATTTAAATAAAAGTTAATTGAAGGAAAATATATTGAATATAAAGAATGTTTTTCATTAAGGTTGAATCATATATTATTTTGTATCATAAATTTTCAAAGATTTCACTGATCAATGAGCTATTATAGTCTTTTGATTTTATTCATGTTGTAGAATTTAGTAATTCTCTTTAATTTAACACACTATTGGAAATATAGGTTAAAATAATTCAAGAACTTATAATATTGCAACTAAATTAATAATTATATTATATTTAAAGATACATTTATTGGTAAAAGCAGTCAAGTATTTCGGAAACACACGCGCCTCAACATCAAAGCTTTTACGACTTTATCTGAAAAAGACTAGTGGCGCATTGACTAGAACTAAGAAACGATGACTGCGCAACGACAGTTGCCTTGTATACAATTTTGCATAAGCTGTGCAAAGGATATGGCGGATATATCCGCCGCTTAATTAGATGCTATATTGATTTGAAAAAAAGAAAATTTTCAATGATTAAAACTTTATTCTAATTACAGAAATACAGTTTGAAAAGAGACAAATCGAGAAACTAAATACATACACATATAAATCGCGCAAAAAGAAACTTAGAAAAAATGTATAGTCATTTTCAAACCGGACTATAATGAATCAAAGCCGTATCAAGCGATGCTGTATTTATATATAAATGTAAATGAATAAATTGGTTATTACAATATTAAAAAAAAAACTAAAAGTTTTTCATGATAAATTCAAAATTCGTAAACAGAACAGCATTTGGTAACATGGACAGGAACAATTGAGCAAAACTTTGTTCATTCGAATCGACTAACAAAAATATACAAATTTCTGCTATGTCAATAAAATCCGTATTTATTCGTTGATTCTGTCCATTTTTTTATTTGAACAATTTAACCACATCTCTATTTTCCTTTGCAACAAAATATTATTTCACAATATAAATATAATAAATGAATGTAAGTGTAACAATTTTGGACAATTATTACAAATGAAATTCACAAAATTTTACTTTTGAATTCAAAAGTAAAATTTTGTGCATATTACAATTATATTAATTTTACAGCGTATTTGTTCCAAAATTATTCCACAATTTTGTTTAAAAAGCAGAATACTGAAATTATACATATAACAAAAAAATATAAAAAAGTGTAATGTACAAAATAGTTGTCATAACAACATGGTAAATCATTGTTGTTTTATAATTTAAATAGAAAAGTTAGTTTAACTGTCAAATTTTTTGACATTTTCTAAATAAATATAGATTAAAAATCTAGTGAGTGTAGAATTACCAAAGTTTCTTAATTACTGAAAAATGTTGACTTTTTATTAAAAAAATGTTAGATTTTGAAATTATCTTGTTGAATGTGGTTTTGGTCTTCTATATATGTGTCGAATAATAATCTGGTTTAATTTCAACACCATGTGTTCGAGTTTAATTGTACCGAAGTAACCAAATACCCTTAATATCGTGGTCGTTAGGAACGAATCTCCATAAGGATCATCATACCATAATGGCCCCATATAGAGTTGATTTCGGTTATCGCTCTGTTTCCAGGAACAAATCCCCACGCTAAATACATATAGGCGAACGTATCATGCGTACATACTACATTCACGAAGAGCATTTAGACTGCTTTGTATAATTAATTTGGATCTTGTGAAATAGAATATTCCCATACATTATTATTGAATTAAATATTAATATTTTATATTAAAAATATACATTCTTCTAATAAATAACATAATTTTTTTTTTAGCTTTTATTGTTTATTCACAACCTGCCAACATCTCGGGCTATAAGTTGAATGTAACATAATTAATGAATATATTTTCTTATAGAACAAAGTTTCTCACTATTTTTTCTATTTGTTTGTAACTGAACTGCGACCCAATTATTTATAACATATATTTGTCGATCCTTTGTCGTAAGTTGACAGCTGTCATTTGACGACCCGTCAAATTGTAACGTGACTTTCTATTTTTTATATATAATAATAAAATCATCCAATCATCAGACAAAATAAAATTTATAAATTTTGGTGTCAATACATAAAATCATACTAAAATATGAAGTAACTGAATACAAAATTTGGAAAACATCATTGATCTTAATGTTACGGTAAAGGTTGTATTACAACAATTGTGAATTATCTTATTCTTAAAAAACTTATAAACTTATAACAAAAATGCATTAATTTCTATATTAAAAGCTACTTTTTCATAATTAATATTAAAAAGTGGAAACTAATATAATTTCATTTCTCATTTTACAAAATACCGGTATTTCCTGTATTTCATTTATTCAACACACGTTCGCATTTTTAAGTATAATTAATGTGTAAATGTAAATGCGAAAAAAGGGAGCTTATCTTCACGGGCTTTAAAATGTCGAGAATAATCGAATCGGATTATATTTATAAAAAATAAAAAAACTCCTGCAACGCCAAAATGGAATTAAACTCGCAGGATTAGCAGACTTTGCTTTTTTCTTTTCCTTTTTTTTACTTTTTCTTTCGGTTCTTTCAAAAGGATGCTAAAGTGAGAGGCAGTAAACTTAATTTTATCGAATTAATACCGCAAGGTATAAAAATAGGAATTTTACGCGTTGCGGTTTAAAAATCTAACCAAGGGAGTGTGATATGAATCAAAGTGCAGATTTTATACTTTAGAGATCAGAGGAGCTTTTGCTACGAAGGAAAATTATTGCCGCTTCGACACTGCAGTAAACAACGTATGAAAGGAAACACGATCCTTTGACTATTATTACTTGCTGAAGGAAGTTTGGAAAATGCAGCAAAATCTTTGTGTCTTTATTTGTTTGAGTATTTATAAAGTTGTAGTATTTTTTAAATACTATAATTTTTTTAATACTGATTTCGGTAATTCTCAATACAAATTAAAAATCTCTCATATATAGGGCAATATTTTATTATGAAAGTAAGAATTGTGAAAGAACAAGATATTAATATCAAATTTTATAGTTTTTGCTATTAACACTGCACATTTTACTATTTTTAGTACTTTTTCAGATCAAAATTTATAGACAAAACATTGGAAATTAATTTAGAAACAACTCTATTTCAATGCTTTTATTTTTGATTATGAATTGTATTCAAGTTAGTTATTTATACACATGACAAATTATTGAATGTCTTTTTACATTTTAACAAAATATGAAAAGTATATATATTTTTTAAATTAATCTTGCATAAAAAATTAATGCAGATAATTAGTTTAAAAGTTGGATGAAGGAATGTTTCTGTAGAAACTTACTGAATAACATTTGATTTCAAAACTGCGAATAGAGAGCTGATTTTACAGTAGAGTATACAAAGTGAGGTAATATTTTCTATATATTACGCTTTTCTATGTAAAAGATATTCTTACAATTGGCAATTCGTACAACAAAGTGGAAAAATATATATTTTTATGTATTAAGTATGTATCAATAAGTTTTGAGAAATATAATAATATTTAGGTAGTTAATTTTATAATAATATTTTTTTATTAAAATTAATAAAATTATTTATCAAACTTCATGTAGTATATGAAGGATAAAAAAAAGTATAAAAAATTGTGTTGGAAACAAATATTCAATGATTTGTTCTTTAAGTTATACTAATTAATAACTTTTGTTTAACTTTTTGTTTTCAGTTACCTCCGCAGGCTTCCTTGAAGTCATCGCAGCAGTCGCCAAGTTTGAGACAAGCGTGATCGCAGTAGCACGGTTTATCGCCGATGTCTTCGACGATGGCATTCAGCGGAGCCTTCTGGACGACACACGAAGAGTCTCTACCGGGACAGCAAAGTTTGGCTTCCCTGCAGCTTCCGCACTGGACGTGTCCTGCGGTCAGCAGGACCGCGACGAAAACGGTGCCCAAATACACGAGCATTGTGTTTAACTTAAAGAGAAGTGAAGTATTCGAAGAGTTCGTCTGAAAAGCGCGGTCCACGTGCGATCGAGAGAATGCGACGTCCGGCGAGGGGAATGCGACTGTTATGCGTGATGGCACGCGTACGACTGCAGAGAGTGATGGTTACGGTGTGAAGAGAAATGCGCGTCGCGACGCTTTGGTGTAGAACCGACGCCGCACTGAGCTTCCTCGAACACGAACCTTCCTACCGGATCTTCCTTTTCCTCTTTCTATTTCTCCTTTCTCACGTCCTACCTAAACAAACATGATTAATATAGATATATTGCTTCATTTGTTTTTAACGAGATTAACTTTTCTTTGCGCCCGAAACACAACAAATCGACATCTTTTCATTATTTCACAAAATAATCTTGTTTCATTACACAACATCGATTTTTTAAATTATTTCAAAGCAGTCAACTTGTACACAACACAATATTTGTTTATTATTAATTTTCAAATTAAACTCATCATGTTTCAACAAAATTTTGGACAATTTACATAAAATATTTTTCGATTTATTTCATCACAGTTGAGAAAAACAAAAATTTCATCAAACATCAAATCAATTCAGCAAAGTCATTCATAATCATCTTCAGCACAAGAAAATAATTAATTAATATTATCACATTGAAAATTTATATATTTTAGTAGTTAAACATATCAAAAATAATATTTAACATTCTTCATTATAAAAATTATATTTTTTTTACAACTTTCATTATAATTATACATCTTTGATATGAATGATATTGATATGAAAAATATATTTGAAGTTATATAAATCTGATCTATTTTTCTTGTCCACTTTTTCTTCTCCAATTATTTAATTATTGAACATTATTTTATTGAAATATTTATGACGAAAAGGTTAATATTATTACTTTAAACGAATTATTTAAATTAATTTTATATAAAAATTTAAAATATTTGTTAATTTTTAAGATTTACATATTAAATCTGCAATCAAGTTAATATGCAAAAAATTAAAACCTTTATTGCAAAAAATATACGATAACACAAATAATTTAATTTATGCATATAAAATGAAATTAAAATTAATATAATTTAATATATATTTTTTTTTCTACAAACTTAATTTTATAAATAACTGAACAAATTTGCGATTTTTTTTTTTAAATTCACACAAATCACTCATCAAAATTCAATATAAATATTGTAATGTATTTATATTTTCACAAAAAAAAGCTTATATTAAATTATAGTTCGACGAGTTTAATAAGAACGTTGCGGATCAATGAAACATATCGTGTTTAAATTATTTATTTAACTGTACATCTCGCATAGTTAAAATAATGCTGTTTGGAACCGGATTAATCGAGGATCTAAATAAAGAGAAAATCGATAATTATATAAAAATAATAAAATTTAATTTGTTTTGAAAATGTTGAACAGAACTATAGTGAATATTTATAAGATCTATATCAGGAAATAAATAAATCTAATTTGGAAAGTTTTATGTTCAAATTACAAAACTTAAATCACAAAACTTTAAAATATGAATTATATAAATATTTTATAGACAATACTGGATGAATCTATATTTAATTATTCATTAAGGCTTTGAAAAATGTACTCCAATTTCAACTGAATAAAATATTGATGGAATCTACGTATGAGCATGCATATAAATCATGTTACAGCTAGTACAACATATGGAGTATGCATATAAAGCTTGCATATAAATATTAACTTTACTTCCATTTGGTTAACCAATGTATGATTTTACTAAAATGTATTATATATACTTTGATGCAGTGTCATGAAACTATGTTTTATTAATAAAAACAATAAATCAACAATTAATCATTATTTCTACAAACACAACACAATCCCCCCATACAAAGGGAGTAATCATATTTTTCTTTTTTTCTTTTATTCAAATATTTCTATTCTAAGACGTTGAAGTCTTGCCATTTTTTGTGCTTTTCTTTTTCCAGTCCCATTCGACCTGTGTTATCCTCGCTTGGGGACATTCGAGTGGAACGTAAAGATTGTTTGGGTTGCGAAGAAAAGGATGTTTGGGGCGATCTCGGACATTGGATATTGTAATATCACGAACCTATAGTATATCAGGATAACGAAAGTATTGACTTCCTCGTTACAAACTACTTTCTACAGTATATAAAAGAAAATAATCAAAAAATCTGAGAATATCACAATTGTAACACATATCACTTAGTTAATTATTATTTCTTTTATTATGATTACATAATTGTTTATTTACTATTGCATTATAATAAAAATAGAACAACGAATATTTTCTTCATCTTATTTTTCTCTTTACTAGAGGAAATAATCTTTTATTTGTCCTTTAAACTAAAATTGCTTTTTTGTCCTTTATGTTTTGAATTGAAATAGTAAATTGAATATTAGTGTAACGGCACATAGAAACAAAAAGGTCGATAAAAGAATGACTAGTTTTTTTTTTTTGTATTTAGAAATTTTTATTAGTTCATGTGGACTATCGATCGTTGTTTGTCTGTTCGAAAACATATTAAAAATCGTTGAATTCTGCTGGTCTGGATCTAATCTCTCGACTGAATGGGTATTTTCATTAGTGAACAAAATGTAGCAGACAAAATCGCAGTCAAAAATCGAAACAATGAAAACATGAATTTATACGAAATGCAAATTTTTAATTGAATAATATTTTTAATATAAATGTTTAAATCACAAACCTGATATATCAGGTATATTAATATTTATAATTTATAAAAAAAATATCATAAAACTATTATAGATTAATGTAAACAAGTTTGTTTTTTTATCGACACAATTTATTTTTGATTCTTTACTTTTTCCAAAAAAACATATGACCACTATAGTTGTAATACATTTTGGTTTATTTAAAAGAAATCGGAAGATATTTTTTAAATCTTATGATTATTTTTATTGACTCTAATAGTAGATAATTAGATATTTAAAAAAGTTATGAGGAAAAATTAGTCACTCACGCTCGCTACATAATTTATAATAATGTTTAGGACTATAAGACGCACCTTTTTACATAGAAAAATCGACTTAACATTGGTTTTCGTCTTATGGTCCAAAGGTATTACCTAAAAATCGTTCTATAAATTTAGGGTATCTTATCCCGTCTTATAGTTCAAAAAAATAGGTTTTTTTTTTATAATAACAAGAAATATTGTAATTAATTAAACTTGAGTTTTTGAAATGATTACGTACTTTATACCAATAATCGAAGTATGCATTTTGTGAGACAAATATGCTTCTACTTAGTAATTTGCAAATTTTCAAGAAGATATTATTCTGTAGTATAATATAACAATAATTTAAACATTGTGTGAGATTGAAAGACAAATAGAAATAAATATTTAGACTTAGGTTGATAGGCCGCGTATTCCGCTTCTGTATAACAAATAATTATACAAAAATTCCAATATATAAGAAAAAATAAATAAATAATTGATCAGTTCGAAAATAATTTGTTTATTTAGTGATTAAAGGTAAGTAAAACCTTTAAATTTATTTTATATTTGAATTGTATAACGGTTTTCAAAATGTGTTTGTTTTATATGTGTTTGAAGCAAAATGAATAATTCTGTACAGAAATATACACTGTACATTGGTATAGTAAGATCTACTTTCGTAGATAAACGTTAAACGAAACAGCGTTAATTCTTTAAAGGGTGGTGAAAGAGGTTTGAAAATGCCTAGTGGGGCATTATTATAATTTTCTAGAAAATGTACGGGAAATAGGAATTACCATTTAATTTGGTTGGTAAGTCAAGGGATGAATCTTGATAGGCCATCCAATGTTGATTCGGTTGATGAAGTTGTCGGATTCAGTCATTTTAAGATATAGTAAATAGGTTAATTTAGTTTTTTTTTTAAGGTTTTAAGTAAATCCAGGGGCGGACCTATTGGGGCCCTAACACAGTTTGGGAGATACTGACATTGTTTGGAAGTTTTGTTTGGGGGGCGGCGTGTTCTAATACTGTTTAGGGCCCTGGATTTTTATAATAAAGACAGATAATTCAGAAACTGTTTAACTGGTAGTTAACCATTCGAAATTTAAGGATTGTGGACGGGTGACAGAAATAGCATATTTTAGAAGTCAATGTTGGATTAACAAGTTTATATAGTACACGGGGCATAAAATCTAATAATACATACACTAAATTATATACTAGGCAATTAATATTACCTTAAAAAATGAAGTGAATACAAATATAAAACGTATTGAAATCAATATTTATTTCAGTAAAGTATATCATTATGCGAACATAAATGAAATTAAGTGTACTTATTCTTACATATAGCTTTGTACTGTATGGTAATATATACCATGACAAGTATATACAAATAAAAATGATTAATAGAATATTAAAATTAAAATCAATATTATAGAAAATATATAATACATTGATTATAGTTGTAGGTGTGCATGTTTAAGTACAGTTGGACGGGATTAGAGGATAAATTTCTTGGCAGTTTACGATTGAACAGGATAACCAGTATATTATTATTATTATAAACATTTATAACAACTTTTAACATTTGTACAAACGTATAATTTTTAAAGAATACAATAATGCACTTCCAGCTAAATGTTATTCAATATGCAAAATCTGAATGCGAGTCAAAAAAGCTGCACAATACTCTTCTTCTTGTTAAATAGCTCAATTACACATGGTCAGAGAGAGAGAGACAAAAAATGAGAGGTCGATTTATAAATAAATTATGCGTGATTTTAGTTTCGTTTATGGAAAAAATATACTATTATTGTTTCACAAAAAGTAGTTTCTTAAAGAAAATTTATAAAACAATGTAGTATCAACATAAATAAAAAAAATATATAATGTTGACGATTAATAAAGAAAACAAATCTAATAGAAACCAACTTTAACCAGTTGATATATAAGAAAAAAAATAATTTTTAACATAAATGTATATATGTATGTAATATATATATAAATATATGTGTTTATATACACTAATGCGCTATTTACAGATGCATTCTGAGATACGAAACATAATAGTGGATTTGATAGATCAAAACTGTTTCCTAAATATTAGAAAACAATTTGACGAACTTACTGATTAACTTATATTTGAGGAATATTAAAAATATATAAAAATTATTTTTGTACATCACAGTTATGTTTTACGCCTATCCATATCAATTAGCGTAACTTTTGGGAATATATCAATAACTTTGGCATACTCTTCAACAGTCATCGTGGAATTATCCTTATCGTTCAAATGAAGAACGGTCTTCTTGATTTCGTCCTCGTTGATATCCGGTTTAGTTCCATAGTACGTAAATTCCTTTTGGTAGTAGGGTTTGCTGGTGGACTTCCTAGCTGTATCTTTGTGTATCTTCGGATGCATCTTTTCAACGTGCTGCTCAAAATCCTTTTCGATCATCGCGTTGCAAATAGTACACTTAAATGGATACTTATTTACGAATTTATGTGTGATCGGCACTATGGTCGGGTTTTCAATTTCGTATGAGATTATGGTCATTTTTTCGCCAGGATGCACTTTACGTCCGTGCTTCATCATCTCGGCTTTCACAACTCCGGTAAATCGGCACAGGTTGCATCCGAACGGCTTCTGCACCCAATGACGCATTTCATGAGTTCTCAAGGAGGACTGCGTTTTAGTACTAAAAGAAAAGCAATACAAACGTATTAATGAAATGAAAAACGCTATTATAAAATAGTTGAACGAAATGTATGCCAAGGTGTCATCAAAAAACAGAAGGTTGTGTCAATGTGTGTTTACTTTGGTGAATATGTGCTATAATTTATCTGTTAATAACAATTAATTACTGCAAACTTCAAGCGAATAACAGTCATGAACACATGAACGGCTGATAAGGTTTAGTTACCTGTCGATGCGACACTAACAATAGGTTTGTTTGTTAAGTTATAAACAGTGTCAGAATGTTTGCAGATACGTTTCATTTAACCTAAGCGAAATACAAAGAAAACTCTATTATTAAGTTGATCAGGACACTTACTCGTATACACAATATTTACATTTAAATATCTGATCGTTGGTGTTAGAAGCTGGCGGTTCTTCGATATCGCTGTCTACGACGTTTAAATATTCACCATCGTCGTTCATAAACTCAATTATCCTTTTTTGATATGTGGTAACTTGCTTAACCCATTCCTCTATTTGTGGTTGACTCTCCAGTACAATAACATCGGTTGATTTATATTCCCCGTGAACTTCTTTACAGTGCATTTCCACTTTCTTCTTTTTGCATTCTGTGTATGGGCAGTGCTTACAACCGAATAGTTTATACTCTAGTTCTTCGTACAGATGAAATTTGAAGTCATTCATTTCAGGTGTTTGATAAATAGCGCACAGAGGACAAAGGAACGCTTCAAAGGCGGGCTTTCCAAAAGGACCGTACGTGCCCATAAAATTCGAGGCAATCAACTTTTCAATCGGCATAGTTTTCAAACTTCCTAATTTCTCCTCAATTTCGCTAAACTCATATGTGTCTTCGGGGCAATGTAATATATCCACGTCTGAATCGTCGCTAATTTCAGAACCTGAGAATTATATAAATCATTAATGGTTTCCTATAATAAAATATAATAGTATTGTTACCTCTAGCAACCGCGTCTATAGACAAATCCAAGTTAGTAATCTTCTTCGTTTCAATTTTATTTTTATTTTCTTCGTCTACAGACGAAGACTTATTGGAACTGATTGATTCCTTTTTTACTTGACCATCAGTTGACTTCGTGGATGACTTAACCGAAGTTTTCTTGGTTTTCTCCACCTCTTCGACCTTTGTTGTAATCTTAGTCGGTCCTTTTTTGGAAATCTTCTCCACCTCTTCGACTTTGGTTGCAATCTTATTCGATCCTTTCTTGGAAATCTTCTCCACCTCTTCGACTTTGGTCGCAATCTTAATCGATCCTTTCTTGGAAATCTTCTCCACCTCTTCGACTTTGGTTGCAATCTTAATCGGTCCTTTCTTGGGAGTCTTCTCCACCTCCTCGACCTTATTTGCAATCTTAATCGGTCCTTTCTTGGGAATCTTCTCATGTTCCTCCAGCAAAATACCGCGAATGTGCTTGATGTTATTTTGTTTATTCATAACCCACAGTGGCGTTGTGTCGAACTGTGGTTGAGTCTCAACTGGTGGAGCTTTAACTGCATCTTCATTAAAATATACCTCGATAACGTCTTCATTACATCCCTCGTGTTTGCTCTTAAAATGCTCAGCAAAACTATCCCTCTCTAAACTCTTGTAATTGCAGTAACTGCACTTGTATTGCGAATCGATACCATGTTTGTTTTCCACGTGAGCAATGACTGCTTCTTTTGTTGAATACCGACTCTTGCACATACGGCACCGCCACGATTTCATTTTCTTTTCTTTACTATCGACTTGAACTTCATCGGTTTCCTCCCTAAGTGTCAACACTTTGCTCGCCTTATCGGCATGTTTGTCGCTACAATGCCTCTCCACTTTGTTCTTCAAGTTGTTGAAAAACTTGCAGTAACTGCATTTGTATAGTAAGTTGTCGTGTAATCTCAAATGACGAAGAATATTATCAACATTAATGGGATATTTTTCACTACTAAAATCTTCATTGCAATGAGCGCATGTGTAACTCTGTTCATGACCGTGCAATGCTTGTAGGTGATGTCGTAACATAGATTCCTCCAGGCAAAGATAATTACAATTATTAGCTCCACACACATATCTATAAGTATAAAAAAAAAACTTACATTTTATGTATGCAAATATGAAACAATTCTTACCTTTTATTTAACGGTATGTAAATCGGTATATTTAAATCAACTTCATCTTTTAATTGTTCAACTTTAGATTCCATCTTTATAGCATGTGAACTGTTCGCCAAATTTTTCATCTTATCAAACATCAGTTCCTTGTTTTTCAGACAAGGCACAGGATTTACTGGAGCTGCGGTCGGTATTTCGGCAACTTCCGCATTATTCTTGTGTAAATTCATGTGACGAACAAGATTCATTTTGACTTTAGTTGCATACTGACAAATGCTACATAGTACTTCATATCTGTATACTGGCATCGGTGGTAGTTGGCTTATTTCCTCTGGGCTAAATGAGTATTTAATGGGACAATGGCTTAACTGCTTTACTTTCGACGACTCTTTGCTAGGAGAAGATTGAACGGAATTTGCGACACTGTTTGAACGCCTTTGATTTGGAGTAGCAATGAATTCATCCGTGTCGAAATTTTGCTGCTTGGGATTCACTGGTAAAATGCTGCAGAAATTAATTTTATGTTTACTCTTCATATGTGCTCTAAAAATGAATGTTTTCAATTAAAACTCGATTAACAATAATTGCTATAATAATAATAATACCTCATAGAACAAACTTGGGGATGCTGATAGGAACAAAGCGAACAACTGATCTTATTTGCTCCATGTATTCGAATGTGTTCCACCAGATTGGGAGCATTTTTAAACGACTTGCCGCAGTGGTAACAGTCGTACGGTTTTTGATTATTTGATTTCTGTGTCATTGTTGTACAACTAATCAAGTGATTTTTGAAGGCTAACGAATTTTCGACCTTCTCGCCGCACTTGCATATAAATAGTAGAGACCCGGAATAAGTTTGCCCTTCGACGTCTTCCAATTCTTCGTCTTCCATCGTGTCCTCCACATCATTATCAATATTTATTTCACAGATTTCAATATTGTTGCTCTCAGGATCCTTGATCACGTCTTTGTAATTGAAACAAAGTAGTTTGTCATATATTTTGTTATCTTCAACCTCGCTGACGGTCTAAAAAATAATTACATAGAATTTATATTAAATTATTAATATTGTAAAAACATACCCCATCCTTAACAGATCTACAAACTATACGAAATTCGTAATTTGAATGTTCTGTTACCATATGATTAAGGAGATCCTGGACATGTACATTTCCATAAAAACAATACCGACAATGGTAGATATACAGCTGATGTCTTGTCTGGAAATGTCTGTTAGCGCTTCTAAAGCATCGAAAATAAATAGAACAGAGTCCGCATCCCCAAGGCTTTGGATCCACGCAAGTTTTTGCATGTGTCTCATAGTTCATTATCACACGGAATTCCTTTTTGCAGCCTAAAACGTTAATTTTAATAATTTGAAGAGAAAAATATACAAACTACTAACCGCAAACATAGGGTTTAAGAAACCTAGATATTGGAGGTACTTCCGGGATTTTATACTTTACAAACGCATCTGCGCTAAGAATCAATGCAGATTCTGAATATGTCAAGCAAGAATATTCTTTGCCTTTATGCTCGATCGTTTGGTGCCATTTTACGTATTCCGGAGTGATTGCTCTGTATAAACAATAAGCACAACCATTGTTGCTTTTGTTGTGGCGCATCTAGAAAAATATATAATTTATGTTATTGAAAGACAACTAAAAAAAGGAAAATAATACGTACCAATAAATGCAATTTGAAGTACTGAACCTCCATTTTGTAATTGCAATAATGACATGGAAGTAATAATCCCGGAAGGAAGGTATGAAAATTTAAAAGATGATCATCAAATTCGTTTTCTATGTTTGTAGCAAAATTGCAAGCTGGTTCTGGGCATTTTAATAATATTTCTAAAATATTGGGTGAATTTAACCACTTGCGACGTACTTCAGAAGTTTTTCTTGGAATCTTAATTTCTTCTGGCGACATTATTACTACTTTACAAATAGCAGTGGTGGGAAATACACTGTCAGACGTGTTAGACGATATGGCTTTCAATGTAGTCGATGTTCCTTTGGATAATACCGACTTTGGAGATGTTTCAGATATTTTTATCAAGGGAGGAATTTCCAACGTTGAGGATTTTTCTTTCAACACCAATGGCGGAACTGGGAGTGTAGATGCAGATGGATTTATGATGACATCGTTCATTGCATCACTCTTTGATGGCGCCAATGATGTTACACTTGAAATTTTGATACTGAATATAGATGATTTATTACAATCCGGATCACTTTTCACATCTTCTTCAAGTTCTTCCAGTTCCCGTTTCATCTGTATTTCTTCCTTTTCATTTTTATCATCAGATACGTGGACGCACAAGTGATTAAAAATATCCAATATGTTGAGATATTGACCATTCGATTCACTGCAAGTGGAACACGATAGTTTATAATATTCATTTTTGTGAGTGAATTTGCAGTGCGAATCAAATATTTTTCTATTTGAAGTTCGAAAAACACACGAGGGTATATTACAAATAAATTCTAGTTCCTTATCTTTCATCTTAGTTGCATGAATTATAGATACACTAAATAATTTCTCGGATGCGACTGAAGGAACAATTTTCACTGGTTCTAAAGCAGGCATCTTCGATAAGAATCCCTGCAATCTGTTGACTGTTTGATTTATAGAATTTTGAATTTTCGGAACCTCAGTCGATTTGGACGTTGAGGCATAATAATTCTTACTTTCTTTGCGCATTGCCGAATCTTGAAACTGTTCATTTTTCATAGATGTTTCTGCGATCGTCTGATTATGCACGTCAGTCTCGTTAGCTTCATCCATTTCCACATCCTTTTCCTGTTTAATTATTATAGCTTTTCCCAATGAGTGCTTTTTTGTGTTAATACTATTACTGATTTTTAAAATCTTCTCCGAATCTAACTCCTCTGTCTTCTCCTCTTCTTGTGTATCATCATTATCTTCACTTTCATCCATTTTCAATAAATTTTCCAACCTTGACTTTAGAGTGTTTACAAACGAAGTTCGCTTCGTTTGTATTGTACTCTGAATTTCCTTCATTTTTTCTAGACGTTTTTCTTCCAAATTATTTTCTTCTTGAATGGCAGTATCATCGCATAGAAACGCTGTCAAATTCAACTCGTTTTTCTCATCTGCGGTAGAGGTTTTGCTATGTTCTTCCCTACTTGCTATATCATTATTAGATGAAACCGGGTCTTTATTTTTACCTTCAACGCTAACCGCGTTTTTTATGGATTCACGAGTTATTCGCTTCTCAATAGTCGGTTTATCAATGATCGGTTTATCAATGATCGGTTTATCAATGTCTTCCACTGGGAATGACATATTAATGGTAATAGGATGAGTAGATTCCTCTAAGTGATATATATGAATGTGCTGCTCAATTGCTTCTCGGTGTAATTGAAGAAAATTGCATTCAGAACAAATATATCCTAATATAATTGGATAGTTCGGTTTCGAATCTTCTAACAGTATCATATTATTCGCATCCACTTTTGGATGAGAATACTGTACATGAAGCTTGAGATTTCTCCGGTTATTATTACGATATTTACATTCTGTACATTTAAATCTATGTTCACCCGTATGGCTTGTTAGATGGTCGTAAAAGAAATTTGAATTTTCTAAATAGGACGCTTTACAAAAGCGACATCTAAATTTATATTTCTTTCTAGCTTTGCTTTCCTCTTCAGAAAACACGATATCATCAAGATTAGCGAGTTTACTGTCACTTAATGCGAGTTCGGTATCTTTGGGTGAAAGGCGGGAGATATACATATCACTTTCTGGATGACTCATCATGTAGTGGTAAACTATTGATTTACCGTTATAGCTGCATAATTTACATTTATTTGCATCAGTTGTCTTTAAATAATATTCTTTATCAGGTTCGACGAAATCTGCGTCGCTTGCGGATTCTTCGTTACCTATCGACTTTTTCGCTGACTTCCGTTTCTTAATTACTCCCGTCGCCCATGCTGTAGCTTTCCTCTTTTTCTTATTATTAGTTTTCTTAATATCATCTGCGTCGGTAGTTTCATCGTTTGTCTCATATTCTAAACTCTCATTTGTCCTGGACAATTCGCTATTAACTGAAGCGGCATCGTCCTCAATCGGTGTCTTTTCTACTGCTTTCGACAGTTTCCGTTTCTTCGCCATTTGATCAATACCATCTTTTTCTGCTATGTCTTGATTATTTTTTTGTTTTTTCCTCTTTTCCTCGACATCCTCACTTTGATTTTCATTCATTTTATTATCAGATTCTGTATTTAATTCTTTTACTTCATTACTAGCTGAAATTTTTATCTCTGGTAACTTTTCTAAAACAACCCTTGGTACTTTAACCTTTTCCTTCTCCGCATCCTTTGAAGTCATGGTACATGACCTTCTATTACTAGTCGACAAAACAGCTTCCCCTAACGATTCTTTTATGTCATCATGAAGTTTATCTAGTTCATTTTTGCGTGTTTTCTTAGCCGGGACACGCATATTAGCCAGTCTTTGGCGAGTTACTCTTTCATTTTCAATGGGAACAGAATTCTCTACATTGCTTCTTTTCCTATTTTTAATTCGTTCTCCGACAGATTCATGAACATCCTCATTTTGTTTCTGTTTGTCAGCTTTCTTTTTAATTGTTACTGGTTTACTTTTTACATTTTTCTTGAAACATTTCTTTTCGGGCTTCTTTACTTTATTTTTCTTCTCATCAATTAGATACTCATCATCTTTAGAATCATCATCTACATTCTCATCATCATCGATTGTAGTCTCATCGTCCTCTTCTTCTTCAACAACTTCTTCTTGCTTTTCGTCTGTAGCTGCCGCTTCATTTACATCAACATTTTCTTTCTCTTCTTCAACTTCAGTCTTAACTTCCTCTTTCTTCTCAGTTTCCAGTTTAGGCACCTCCTCCTTAGTTTTATCAGTTAAACATGTCATTAACATATTAATCATACTTAAGATAGCTGTGGAAGCAGTTGAATCTTTTTGTTCTTTTATAGTTTCTAGTAATTTTGCAATTTGTTCTTGCGGACTATCTGAACTACAACTAGGTTCTGAAGTAATTGCTTTGTTCGTATCAATATCTCCTGACGGAGATACCTTTACGTCAACCTTTTTAATGTCTTCGGGCTGTTTTTCAGTAGTTTCAAGTTCTTTTTTAGTTTCTTCAACCATTGAGAGAATTTTTTTAACGTCTGTATTCTCCACCTTATCAACCGTTTTCTCTTTATCAACAAGTATTTCATTGTCATCTGACTTCTTCTCCTTCCTATTGTCAACAAGAGTATCTTTTTCATCATCTTTAATAATATCTTGTGTCCCTGAAGTTGTATCACTTTCTTCTTTAGCATTATCCACATGTTCATTTTTTTCATTTAGAGATTCTTCTTCTTGCTCTTGATCAACGTTTTTAATATTGTTAGACGTATCTTTATGTTCCTCAGCCTTAGCACTATCTTGTTTTACTTTTTGTTCATTATCTTCGGGACGAGTTTTTTTGGGAATTTTAAAATATTGCAAAGAATCTCCTTTTAAAAATGTATACTTATCTTTAGTTGCAGCCTTTGAAGTACTAGTATAATCATTATATCGATTTTTCGATTTACTACGAATTGGTATAATTTCTTTTATGCTACTCCTTAATCTCTCTTTAGTCTTTTGAGGGCTAAATTTGTCTCTGTCGGTTGAAGTGGATCGTACACGAACGTCATCTTTCTCGCATGATCCCACACGTGGTCTACTAACATCAGTTGACTTTCGGTTTGACTCTGGAGATCGACTATCGCGTCCCTTTGACTGAGCTCTTTGATAGTCATCTCTTCTTAATCGTGGATCTCTAGTATCATGATTGTCACGCTTCTCGCGAGGATCACGAAACAATCGATTTTCACGTGGATCCCGAGATTCTCTTGGATCACGGCTTTCCCTTGAATCCCGGTTCTCTCTTGGATCGCGGTTTTCACGAGGATCTCTGTTTTCACGCGGATCCCGTTGCTCACGGTGTTCTCTTGGATCCCGATTTTCACGTGGATCTCTTACTTCTCTTAACTTTTTCTCTTCGCGCCAATGTTTATAGGTGTACGGCATTTCATTTTCATGAAATCTATTATTACTAAAGTTTCTCTTATTTTGAATATGCATAGGGTGCGTTGGTTGCTGCTCGTACGGCGGAGAAAATATAATTGGAGGAGGAACGTTGTATGGTTGAGGAGGATGACAATATGGATTAGGTGTTGTCGGTGCATAAAAATCTACTGGCGGATGAGCACTTATGTCATAATCACTCTGTATTGGCTCGAACGGCGTAAACACTTTTGCTTGAGGCGGAAACGCATTATGCTGTGGGGGAATTCTATAGTTGTGATTGTAGTTCTCGTTAAAGCTTGTGGGTGGATTTATAACATTTCCTGGTTGAAAATGTCTTTTTGGTGGAGGCGACTTTAATTTGTGAAACGAAGATATTTGGGTAGGAATATGTTGTTGTTGCAAGGCTTCCACAACGGGTGGTGGTGGTTCTTTTACAGGTTCCGGCTCTTCGGCGGGTTTAATGTCATGCTGTCTTTCCATTTCTTTTAAAATTTGGTCGACTACACCTATTCCCTTCATCATTGCAGCTGTTCGAGTTGATTTAGCCCTTGGCTTTGGATTATATTTATCAGCTAAACGTACAGGTTTATCTTCAACGACTTTACTTGTTACGGTCTCCGAGATATTCGGTCTACTGATTGACTCACACTTCGGATTTCCATTAATATTTGATTTCACGATTTTGTGTCCATCTTTACTGTCGCGCCTCTTCTTTCTATCAGTTATTAACTGATCGTCTATGCTCGAAAGCATACTTCCAAATGGTGAGTTCGTTTCCTTCACTAGTTTATCAGTCCGCGCCTTCGCACACTTTGAATCATTAACATCTGTTCTTACTTTCGAACTCGGCGTTTTCCCCGACGGAAAAAGTTTTTTGTCTTTCACACCACTAGCACTTTCTAAACTATCACTTATTTCACAATATTGTGAGTTCAAAAGCTCCAGGTCTGCAACGCTGATCGGAGGCTTCGACATGTCCATCTTTGGAATTAAATCGATATTTACATTTTTCGGTTTACTTATCGTCGCAGCGATGCTGCTGTAAATACTGGGAGTTTCTCTCACATATCGTTCTTCAACGAATGTATTACTCGATTCCCAGTTATCCGGATCTGGGCTACGACTAAAGAAAGTAATAAATTAATCATACATATAAGTTTTTATACTGTGATAATAACATACATTGTAGGTACAGGACTCGGACTCCGTGGTGGCAACGGAAGTGTTTTTGGTGGTTGTTTATAAGTCTGAAAATTAAACATACATACCAAAATATTGTATGCAACTTATATATGTTATACTTACGGTTACGTTTTTTGATTTTTGTATTTTCTTTATCACTTCCTCGCACTTTTTTAAAGTTTCATATTTAAACCTATAACATATAAAAATGATAGAAATTGCAAACGATTATTTAGTGCTCACTTACTTTTTCTTCTTATCTGTAATCATATTATGCAAAGAAACTAATTTGGCATGTTGAGGCATATCGGGTTTAAGATTGTCAATCATGTCTTTCAAAAATGGGGCATACGTTTGCAGACGTGTCAACAACGCATTTACGTCGTCTGACATTTTCGGGCCTGAAATACAAATGTCTACATTATTGTCAAGTTTTGATAACTATAAATATAATTATTTACAAATTTCTTGCTTGAAAGAATCGTTAGTAATCTAACAAAAACGATATAAAAAATCACTATAACAACGTATATATATTAAATTATTTACACAGCTTATGAACGTAACCTCAATATATTTCAAGCGTATATAATACTACATGATCAGATATATAAGACAATACACATTCACTATCACAATATTAACACATCTAAAAATATTACCTAAATAAATTTAATTACAGATTATGCTGTATTCGCATTTAATTAATAAATCTTGTTTAGGAAGCACAGAGCTGTCTACTAGATATATAAACAAGATGGATGCCAACGTCCATGAAACTGCGCATGACATATTTTTTGGACTTAGTCTAAAATTTAGTTACAGTACATTAAATTTCATTTACATTAATAATCTGCAAATACATTTGAAACATTAAGTTTTACTCATAAATAAAATAGTTAACAAAATAATAATTGTTCATTCTATATAACATTTTCACAATTGACCATTACTTATTTATAGATTAATAACAATAAATTACATATTAATTGGTGGTACATATTAACTAAATGGTTACATCATATTTTTTGTTATATTATATTTTTATGGACTCCCATCATTCGTGACTCCCCATCTTAATAGCAGTTGTAGGTATCCCTTGTATGTAGCCTGGTAAAGACTTAACTATTTTCTCATAGTCAGTCTTTAAATATGGTATTATACACGGAAGTCAATTTGACTTGTAGGTTATATTTATACTTAACAGCACATCCAGTAGTAATTGCTTAATTGACATATACTTCACATACACTATATAAATATATTAGGATTAGGTATTACATCTTATCCAAATATACTTTGATATACTATTGTTACAAGTCCACACGAGTGCATTGAACAAAATGGCGCATAGACAGTTTATTTGTAGAGAACAAACTGTCCCGGGAAATACAAGAAGTACAAGCTTAATACCGTACATATTTTATATGTGAACATTCACAGTAACGCGTACATATTTATACCAAATATAGCAACTATTGATCAGTCAGATCTCAAACGTATATACTCCCAATTCAAATACAGACCTGCCAGCCAAGGACCGACGGCAAACTAATGCCTGATCACACATATTGTCCAAATCAGTAATAAGTTATGTATCTTCAACCAGCACTTAAAAATAAATACCGTTCCAGAGGATGTTATCAAAGCAGTAGCACTAGCTACCCTTATATTAGCTTTCGTTGAACTTTCTTAAACCTTACATTTTACAGTCATTTATATTATGCTACAAACTTTCATTTACATTCTACTAACAAAATATGTTTCAATGTTGCTAAGAGAAATAACAAATCAAAGCTTTGATCATATTTACCAATATATCAAGTGACTTGATCGCAACACGAGTTCAATGTCACAATTGACAGTTGTTGCCTAGTATGATTACTGATAATCATTTATAAAGGTAAATAGTTAAAAAAAATACTTCCTCTTACTTGATGTATTGTGATTACTAATAGCTAACAAAATTGAATTATCAATTTGTAGTAAAGTACAAGATTACAACAAGATTACTGTCCGACAATCTGCAGGTATGTATAGTTTGTAACCTTATCTTTAGAAACAGTATTTATTTCAAAGCAGTGTCGGGTTTATGAAGTAGCTATATCATTTTTAAGGTTATACATCCATTTTCGAAAAGCGACCATTGAATAAATCTTTAGTATGTAGTAGAATATTAATGTCTAACAATTGTAAGTGAATGTTCTTTCCTCACCAAGACCATAATAACCCAACATAACATCAAAGTGCTAAACTGATAGTATATGATAGAGACTATGTTTGTAATAGATAATACATACTTTAAACCCCCAATAATCTTTCAACTTGTATCTGCTGTACATATATGAAGTATTGTATAAGTTTTACTACAAGACATATTCATAAAATATATAAAACTTGGATTCGAAAGCTAGTAGGAAAGTGTAATCCCCGATAAATACTAAATACAGAAGGTTACATAATAGTAAAATATGAAGTGAAGAATCTTGAACATAATTTAAGTATACCCCAGTTATTGATGAGTATATTTACTCAAGGCAGTTCCACAGCGGAACTACACGAAAACTTGGGCGATATTTGGTATTTTCTTTAATGAAGACTACATTATATTTGGTAAGTTGGTTTTATATAATTAACACTAATTATTAATGTGCTCAAGAATAACAAGTTTTATGTTAGTTAAGTAGAAAGGTATCATTCTTTCAATATTATTAAATGCTAAACGAGGTTAGTTTCATACTATTAAAATATAATCAATATGAACTTAAATTGGTATTATAATTTATGTTTGTAGCAAGTTGGTAATGTTAAACAATTGGGTAATATCAGTATGGCTAGAGTATGTTGTTTCAAGAATTATATAGATGCAGACTATAAGTTCTGTTAACGTACACTGAATCTGACTTAGATCCGTACGAACGTACAATGTCGGTCGTACAGGACCGTCCTTGGAATTTGGCCCCGGGCATAAATATGAAAAGGTATCCCCCAATGCATGAATTGTGAGAGCGGGGTGACATTAAAAAAAAAAGTGTGAGCGAGGGGGGGGGGATGGCTGATGCATTGAAATATGTTGTCGCGTTTGAATGCAAGGTTCCGCCGGCAATGTACGTTCATATAGATGTATTGATCATAGTAATATGAAGTTCTCCCTAAGGTAATTTTACAATGTTGTGGAAATACTATATATGCTTAATTGAAAATTATTGATTTCAAAACGTTGCATGGTATCAAAATATATTCAATATAAACGTATATTTGATTGGATGTAACATCTACTAATGGTAAATGGTTAATATAAAAGTGACTAAAGATGATACTTAGTTTCAAGGATTATATAGGCAATATACTATCAGCGTTCACTAAACGTACGTTTATTAATACGTACATGATGACTTAAGACTTTCAGAACAAACTAACGTACAAATATCCGTACACACGTACAATGTCAGTCGGACAATTTCGGTTATGCATGCAGCATTCATATTAAAACTCAATTAAATGTTTAAGTTCTGACTGAAAAAGAAACTTTGAAATACAGTCTGTTAGAAATCTAAATACAGGTATCAGTTGGCAGTGTACGTTCGTATGAATACCGAGTACAGTCGTACAAATATCGAATACGTTTGTGAACAGGAAATGTCACGTGAATACCAAAAAGTTCTAGAAGTATGTATGTATATGAGTATTCACCTGACAATTAACGTACCTTCGATTAACGTACGGTAGCTTGTGTACGCAATATGTACGTTAACTGAGCGCTGACTGTATATACAAAATACTGTTATTTTCACTTAATAATACTTTTTTAAAGTAATGTACGCTTAAGTTGTATAGTCAACATTGAAGATATTCTAGTACTACTTATAAATGTATGTCATATTGACAATACAAAATATAAGTACGTAGAACAAAATCAATATACAAGTAACAGTGATAAAGTATATGAATTGCGCGTGCGTAAAACGCATTACCATTCTGCTTTAAGGATTTTTTTTAAGAAAGCTATTTTTTTCTATGAATGAAGTAATAGCTATCGTATTTGGTAAAGTTATATGATTTGTAAGAATATGCACAGGAATTTTTTAAATTTTAAATTAATTCTCCTTGTTCATATGTGACGGTTGAAAGTAAAAATGGCTGGCTTCAATGCTTGATTTTTTTTTCATATTATTTTATGTAGGACGCATTTATAATATACGCTAATTAGATTGCAGTTAACGAAAAACTACGGCTGTGACTGAAATGCACGTATAATTGATAATAGATGTACATACTTTGGTATAATGAGTAATTATCAGTTTGGTCACTATGATCGGAGGATCGGCTCATCGGTTGCACGTTTGTTACACTGCCCTCTCTGTTAAATATGGCTGGCGCCAAACACTGAAACTAGTAACCCGCACGTTGGCCCTGTCTGCTAGATAACTCCATCTAAGATCTGTACGGCGATGTGCGTGGCATATGCACCCAGTTCTATGTATAACGAACAATTGTTTATCCACAGCCCTGATGAACAAACAAATTGTGTGCTCGGTGTGTTCTGGTCAGGCCTGGCATGGTTTGTCCAACGTTGAAAGAAGCTTAATGGCTTACATCGCCTATATAGACCGCCATTTTCCGCATAACGGCCGTCGCATATATGCAGACGCCAGTTCTGTCTCATCCGTATATCAAGAAGTGTTTCCTCTTACCTCAATATTCACGAGCCTCTATGCAACTAAACATAAACCGCCATCATTCGCATACAGGCATCTCTCCCTTAACTTCGTTAGAACAAAAATTGACGAATCTCGGCATGAAGGCGTGCGATAGAAAGAAACGACCAAGCAACCAAAAAATGAGAAGGAAAACAATGAGGCGACGTGCATACCTTGGGTGCTTGCCTGTGAGCACAATTGTGAATGTGCCCAAACCGACAAATGCCGAGCGCAACCATCCTACCCTTGGTCGGCGCCGAAGCCCGTCGCGCCGTATTGAACGTACCGAACCACCAGAAGCGAAACCAGACCTCAGATAGCGCACGACGGATCAGCCTGAACAACAGCAACATTCTAGCTATAACTAAACCAAGCGGCGGATGCATGCAGTGAACTCCATTTCGCGTACATTGCGAAACCATAATAAGCAGCTGCAACTGCACGCAAAACCAAGTGGAACCGCGCCCAGAAGTGACGTTGAACGGACCATGAAGATAATAGTGTCCAACAGTGGTGTGCATCAGGCAGCTCAACTGCACCACCATCATCGTAAATTGCATTCGCAATTGTAAAAACCAAACAATTTGACCCATCACGAGCAATCCTTAAATTGTACGCAATCCGCGGCGCATCCACCAACTAATACCTCAACTGACAGATCCTTTACGCGTATCATCATCATATTATACGTACATTTCAGATTCTACGACGTCAACTAGTCCTAATTACTAAAAACACTTACTACAAATAATTACTAAATGCATGCAAATATCTTTCGCCCAATACTCGTACCTTGCCCGACCGATCAATTAAGTTTATCGTTAATCAAGCATTACCAGCGACAACATCTAAATCCGACGATGCAAGGTACGCGATAGAACATAAATTGAATTCTCTGATTCAGTTACTTTTCATCTAACAATAGCCGCAGCCCCGATGTCTATCTCCATTGAATGCCGTCTGCGAGGACCGTGCAACTTACAAGCGACCAGACCGATGCGTTTTATCTAAACTTAATTACGTAATAATATATAGAGCCTTTACCTTTCTCGAAGCATTTTCGCGTTCCAAATCGCTTTCCGGGATATTTACTTGAATTTCTGTACTTTTCTTATTTCACAAAAGTGATTATGGAATCGGCAGTGACGCAGTGAGGAGGGGCAAATGACAGTGTACATATATACATATATCTATATACATTGATGTATATAGAAGTGAATACATATATATACTCGCACGCTATGTACTTGGGTGGACGGAAACTATTGATCAATTGCAAGTGGAGCAGTTTCTGTCGACGGCCGCTCGAATCACCCCAAGCGCATAAGTTGCTCAGAATAAATAATCGTTCCAAGTGTATATTTTACAATGTGTACATAAGCGAACAATGAGCTAGGACTAGAAAACACAATTTAAGCTGTGTATGAGGGTCAACAAATAGGCAGTTTATTGAAATAAGCAAATAACAGTAAACATTCGCACGAGAATCCAATTCCATTGGAAGCACCTCCGTCGTGTTCCGGGAAGAAAAAAAAATATTGGAGTCCAACAACAGCTTAGGCAACAAGTCCGCCACTTCGAAGTGGCCACAAATAACGCTCCAACAATAATTTAAAATATATCGTTTTATTTTTTCTCTCTCGCTATTCTTATATAATACTGAGCTAAATATTTATAGTAACAAGAAAAGTAAGATACTTTAAAAGAGGTTCGTTCTTTTGTTTATAATGACTACTGGGTTTATTATGTACACTGTATATTTATTTCTCGAAAAGAAACGCTTCCAACGTCGTTCCATTTATTATTTTACTAGTTAACCATTATCATTTACTTAGAGAACTTCTAGGAGCATGTTCAGATCCAAAAAAATAATGAATAAACAACTTTTTATACAAACGATCAAAATAAACGAAACATATACTTAAATAACTATATAATTTAAAAAAATAATAATAATAATGAAATGCAGTCTCAATAACAAGGGATGTTCTTCTTTTTCTCTTTTTTCTTGTTGGTGGGTCTTGGAAATTAATTACAAATGTCTTACATAACTACAATTTAGAATAAGTACAATGCTAATATTCAGGGTAGCTTGATGACATACAATAAAAATAAAAAAAATAAACTAGACGAAGTACAAACTCATCATCCTTGCCGGATTATTCTCTTTTCTCGATTACACAACTCGGAAGAATAAGTAAAAAAAAAACGAGGAAACAAAAAAAAAATACATTACAGTAATTCCAACCTAATCTATAATTTAGGAAACAAGAAAGTTGGAATGTCAATGATAATTTCCAAAATGTACTGTGTGTAATAACAATAAAAAATATATCACGATTTCCTTTAAATTTCTCGGAAAATTTCAACAACTAGTGCATTTGTTCTGTATTATTAATTATTATTTTAATCAATTTTTTTTTATTATTATTAAGCGCACACACGTATCCTACAACGAAAATAAAAATACTTTCTTTCGATGTGTCCACTCTCAGACTCGCATTGAAAATTTATGTTTAGTTTCTCGTTTCACAAAGTTATTTACAACAAAATTAAAAAATATAGAAACTGTGTATATACATTGACATGCAGCCTGCCGAGGACTAAACGAGCCCTTTACAATTTCCAACCCCTAACACACAAATATAATAACTAATGATTATTAAAAGGAAAGAAAAAGAAAACAAAAGATTTAATTCAATGTAAATAACTCATTATAAACACAAACAAGAAAATGTAATGAGAAAAAAATAATAGATCATTCTGATAAGAAAACTAAATTTACTTTGGAAGAAGAAGAAGGCATTTGAAATTGGAAATTGTAAGGACAAAATGAATTGATTCATGGCTATTCTTAGTGTAATGTAGTCTATATCCTAAAAATATCGAAAGAAATGGTAGTAGGATGGCGTTGGGAAAGGCAAATAAGTTCATGATTGCAAATAGTAACAAACGATTCATCGCCGAGTATTCTGTTTGTAAGTATATATACAAGTATTGAGATTCATTTCGGATATTTTTATTAGATATATTTATTTATGTAGATAGAGAGATAGAAAGAGAACGAGATTAAGAAAGGATTTTGGGGATAGGACATTTGGGAAAAACAGGTACCTAATTGTGCCCGACGGGCGTCGTCTGTCTTTCAACTTCTTCCAAACTGAGAGTATGTTGCGGCAGAGCACTAGCTGGTATACGCGGAAGTTTACCTTTCCTGGCGCTTTCCAAAAGATCGGGAGAGAACCAACGAGCCAATTGGTTGCTGGTTGGAGATAAATCACCTCCTTCGATACCACTGGGACGGCCTACCGCACGATTATCTGCTGGGCAACAACCACGTTAGTTCTAACCTGCGAATACAATGGCAATCGACTTACCATAGCCTTGTTGTCCTTGCATCATTTGCTGCGGCCACGGTGTGGTTTGTTGTTGACCAAAGGGCGTTTGATGTTGTGGAGTTCTGACATTCTGATGTTGCGCCCTCAATTGCTGCTGGCTGAGTTGCTGATGCTGTTGTTGATAAGGTTGATTCTGGTTGACGAAACTCTGACCGAAAGTTTGTTGATTTTTACGCTGCTGTTGCAACTGTTGCTGCAATCTTTGTTGTTGCTGCTGTTGTTGCAGGAAAAATTGCTCTTGCTGATTTGCTTGATAATTATTGTTTGCTTTAACAATTGGACGGCCTGTCAATCGGAGAGAGTCGACTAATTAATTATTTGATTCGTACAATTAAAAGCGATAAATTAATTACCGGGTTGCTTCATTTGTTGTGCAAATTGATTGTTCCAGTTAACTTGTTGCTGCTGAGCTTGGATGTTCGACTGCTGCGGACGCATTCCAATTAGTGGCCTACCCTGTGGAATCTTGGAGTCCCCTTTGGCTTCTTTGGAGCTGTCATCTTTGTCGGCAGTCATTTTTCTCAATACAGATGTCGGTGTAAAGGCCAAACGAGTGGGCGAAGCGGTCTTGGCCGGCGAATTTCCGCGCTGCTGTTGCTTCTTCCGGTAATTCTCCTCCTGTTCTTCGAGCTTCTTCTTGATCAGAGCTCTTTGCATAATGTTTTGCGTGTGGAGTTGAAGTTCGCGCGGAGATGGTATCCTCTGATGCATTGCTAAATATATAAATTGCTAATATTGTAATATATGCATTTTTGTGAAGACGCGAGTATTGTGTATTGTAAATGAAAAAAAGAGATAACTTTTAACCAGGTCACGCGTCTCACATTCAAAAGCATGAGGTGGTCACTTATCATATATTTATACATTATACGATAGTTATGTAAACTCACCTGGAACTGTGAGCGTGTTGGGACTAGTTGCCAATACAGGGGATACACAATATGCTGCATGTAAAAATGTTAGTTTTCGTTTTCCCTTTGGTTTTACGTAAGGTATTTTATATAATTCGTGTACTACCGTGCAATTTAATATACGAGAATCTTATTGAACAGTCAAATGCAGTTTTAAAATATCGAATGATCTTTATTCATAATACGAAAATGTTTGATTTTGTTGGTTGTATTGAAACGAATAAATTTAATAATTTTAGTTCAACTGTAACATATATGGGTGAAAAACAATTTGAAACTGAAGTTGAAGAAAAAAACTATATTGAATGTTCAATAAAACCGAAAGAAACACATCTACTTATGAGGCGTGAAGTTTAGGAAAAATATATATCGTGTTGTTGCAAATTGAAGCACTAGTATACATTTTGAAAATATAAAGTACTATATTCAAATCGGTACTTAAACAAAAAAAATCAGATGTGCATAATATTTCATGCAAAAAGTAAAAAAAATAAGTAAAACAAAAAAACATTGAGAAAAAGACAAACTATATGTGAAAGCATAAGGGAAGAATTTTAAAAGAGAATTCTCACCGTTGGGGGGCAATGGGGATACACGCAACTGCTGTTGGTAGATTGAATGATGCGGAGGGTTAACAGGACTAACAGGCTGCGGCTGCTGCATCGCTCCCGTCACCTGATACATCTTCAAAATTGTATATACTAATTCACGGTGACGGGGCTGCATAGCCGGATTTGCTAACTGCTGATTCAGATGTTGGGGGGTAATATCCCCACGTTTCAGGCCTACTCCAATCGAATAGTTAGTTAAATGATAATGAAATGATGGAAAGTTATTAACTTACCCTGCAATATAGCTTGAGCCTCGGGTCTGTTCAACAATTCCTTGCTCTGGTTAATACCCATTTCAGGAAGCGGAGATGCCCTTGCATTGGTCGTTGCAAATCCAGCGTTCATCAACTTCGTTAACATTTCCATTTGAGCTTGCTTCTGCTGCTGCTGCTGTTGTTGCTGTTGCTGTACTTGGTTATGAACATGCTGCAACTTATACTGGATATCAGTCATTTGATAATTGTTCATTCTGTGACTAGCCATTCGTGCTTCATCTTGTTGTTGTGATTGCGATAACATTTCCATAATACTCATAGGTGGTTTTTGATTCAAGCTGTTTACCTGCAATTGAAAAATATTCATAATATTAAATGATTTTCTACTACTAGCGAGCAATATTATCAATATTAAAAATATTAATTTTCAATACAACTATCTATGAATATTAAGAGTTTGGAAAATATTATTCACATATTTAGCACGACGACTTTTATAAACATCCATTTAGTATAAAATAGAGAAATTCAATCTCTAAATAATAACAGTCACGTTCGGTAATGCTTAAAAGAATAAATACATACCAATCTTTTGAAGGCTTTAACGTCTTCCTCAGCCTTAGGTTGATGCTTTACATTAGATCCTTGTTGTCGCATGCCAGCTTCCAATTCTTCCAAGCTTAAAATCTTTCCAGGAATCTCCTTCATCGGTTGTTGAATTGGTTGGGTCATATTGTTACCCTCTTGTATTTTGTTGCCGCGCTGTAACATCTCCATCAAGTTCAACGACTTTTGTTGTTGCTGCTGCTGTTGTTGTTGAACAGGAACCGAGCTAGCAGCAGGTGAAATCGGTGCGAAGTAGGATTCAGAATCGCCTGGTTGCGGAATAGCCACACTGGGCTCGTTAAATTGCTCTCCAAGTAGGTTTTTGATGATTTGATGATGATCATTACTTGCTTCAGGTAAACTAGGACAACGATTTTCCGCAGAAACTTTATTCGATGGACTATTGTCAGACCTGTTAAACCAGCGACTAAATCGAGAACCCGCCGCATCGCCCGATTCCACTCCGTTCTGCAATGAGGATGTTATTAAAATCGAGTGACTAATTTGTAAAGAATGAAAGGACTTACAGAGAGTAAACCGGGGAATTCGGTAAGATTTTCGCATTTTAATATATCTTCGAAATTAAATGAAGAATCGTTCTGTTCCTTTGGAGGAGAAACGCGAGCAGCGCCGACAGCAGATTCCTTTTCCTTTGCGGACTGTTGATGAACTCCTCCACCGTCCTGCGGTGTCGGCGAGGGAGTTACTTTCTCAGCATTCTTTGTAACGACAACCTCGTCGATTTTATCAATACTGTTACCATTGTTGTGCAGGTCGTTCTTCTTTTTCTTCTGAGTCACGTTCTTCTTCTTTCCGTTTATTTTCTCGCTCTCATCGAATCCTCGCAACTCGATCGTATCGTTTTGAGAGATAGGCCCTGAAGAGAACCATTCCGGTTCCTCTTCGCGACTTTCAGAAGATATGCGACGATTGTTGTAGCGACCATTGTTGACACCGCCACCACCCCGCTTGTTATTATCTTTGAGATCAAAATCGCGGCCGAAGGAACGACGATCGTAGCGCTCATCGGTGTCTCGTCGTTCACGTCTGGGACCATAATTTTCGTTGTCTGGAGCATCGGCCTTCTCCTGGTAATCCCATGGAAGTATGCGCCCGCTGCCAATACGCCTCGAAGATGGTGCTGTGTAAATATCTCTATGCGACAAATGCGGAGCTTCTGGTTTTCCGAGAGGACTATGGGGTCTGTTGTTCGGACGTACGGGATCGCGTACCGGCACAAAGCAACCGGAGTTGAAACTGCGACGCTGTGGACTTAATACTATTCCATCTTGCTCCTTGCGTAAACGTTCCCTCGGATCACCAGGTTTGCGCTGAAAGAGATTACAAATAAATTAAAGAAAGAAAGTATAAATATATATGTTAGGTTTACCTTGGTCGGATCGCCGTTCTCGATTTGACCATCGTTGCCATCAGTCAAATTACCCGCAGCAAGGGTTTTAACATTGTAATGCCAACGAGCAGGATCCCATATTCCATTGGCGTCATAGAAGGCAGAATTCAGGAACTTTGGGCGGCGTTGAGAACTGGGATAGCTCCGTATCCTAATTAAGTCTTCTTTGCTATAACGATATTCCGAAACTGCCGGTGTTACCACCGACATACCACCTCCTACCGCTATTATAGCAGGATCTGTATACTCTTGCTCAGAACATGTAGTACCATCCTCATAATCATCATCCCCTGCAGAACAAATACAAAAATACAGTTAATTAACGCAGAATTAAGAAAAACAAAAATATTTATTTATAAAAGCTTACTCCAAGTTATATGTTTGCCACTATTAGCTGATATGGGTACAGCATTAGTAACATCGTTAGTATTTATGATCAACGGCCTCAATTTGGCTTTTTTCGATGCTTTTGTTTTAGCCATAATTGCAGTATATAATTATTTTAAAAAAAGTGTTTAAATTCACACTTAACGGTAAAAAATTAGAATGCGAAAGCCGACAAATCGAAAAAAAATATATATAGAATAGAAAACTTTCGAAAACGTTCACGAACAAGACGAGTCACTGGACAGACACGTGGTTTGTAGCCAATAATTCAAATACGAAAAAAAATTGAATGAACACGGATTTCTAGCAAAAGAAAAAAGAACAACCACAATCTAAATATAATTATTCACAAGTACTAGACAAAATGAACACAATTAAGTCAAAAAGCAAAGAACTAGTCTGAGTAAAATTTAAACTGAAACACAAAACACTCGTCTTTTTCGTAGACGTGCTCTGAATGTACTGCACGCCATTTTAATTTTTATTACGAAAAAAAATGCAAAAATGAATTGTATTATAAAAAAAACAAGAAACCTGTGATAGAAAGAATATGTTTCTGATTTGAATAAAATCGAATAACGTTCGATGATATCGCATCTGCTGTGTATACAGAGTAAAGTAGATATTATCATTAAAGAAACATTCAACTAAAGAAGTAATTATCTGTTGCAACAAATACAATATTAAAGTATATTCCTATATGCGAGATTACATTTATAAAGTACAGAAAATAATACATTCTCAAATATCTAATCAGTTGTTGTTTTTTGTTTTCATTTCAGATAATGCATATCTCAGTACAGTTAATATGTTTTAGAGATTTATTACATTGCAATGCAAATAGGTCTATTCATTTTCTGTGCGCTATTAAATATGCAAGTTTACAAGTTCTTAATCATGGTATGCCAAAGCTTAAAATTCCTCAAATTATTGCCTTAAGATAGTTGCTGTAAATTGGAACAGAATAAATAACTGTTATGATCTGACATCTAATACTTTCTCTTTTCTTTAATATTAATGTTCGATGTGCGTTGCTTCGTCGTTTTATTTTGTACAGTCTATATATACAATATAGTAAAGTTTGAGAGTCATTGTATTTACTATGTGTTTCTGAAAATCGTTCATTTGTTTCATCATATCAAGAAAATTGAGAGTTCTGAATGATATGGACAATAACAAATAGAAATATGTGATAAAGGATTACAGAATCCATGTTTGTTTGTAAATAGATAAATAACTGTTACCACACAAACTCACAAAAGATAGATATAGATGAAATGTAATTGCTTCAGAGACGGTTTTTTGTTATACGCCATTTAAAAAGCGCTAGATAAATAGACATAGTGCAAAAGTGCCAAAAGGTAGTGTGAATGTAGGCCAAAGGAGATAAATAGTAATAATTAAAGTTATATTCATGCCATAGAAATGTTTACCAAATTATTGCAGTTTCACAGAAAAATATATTTAGTTTTTTTAAATAAAGTTTACATTTTTAATAATAAATATTAATTCTTAAATATAAATTTATTGTGTTAAATCTTGTAATTAATATATTAAATTATTGAATTAATTTCAGTAAAAATGTGGTTAACATAGTTATTTTATTGTGTGTTAATTATTGTATTAAGATATTCTACTATAAGTAAATGTAGGATTTCCAAATTTATATCATCTTACATTTAAGGTCAGCCTAGATATTACTTGCAACTTCTTCTAAGTACTCTACATATTGAATATTTTATAATTATATAACAATATAAATAATTGCATTTCTCTTGCTCCTTCTCTTACAGATATTGACTTTCAATCAGCTATAATTACTTATATTACATGTTAAATTTTAAAAACAATGTTGATTAACATAAGCAACTCAAGTTCATATTGAAATTAAAAACTCAACAAAATACGTTAGGATCATGAATTTACAGACTTTGTGTATATAGAAGAATAAATTGAGATGCATATAAAATCTATCTATATGTTAATGTTCTAATTACAAATTTCTTGTTAACCTTTTCTGTAAATAGACAAACAATTGGAAAGACTAAAATCTAATCTAATAAGATTTTCTTCATTTTGTATTAATCGAAAAGTAACATAATGAAGTGGTGCATGTACCGTAGTATGGTAATTCACTGTATTGAAGATTTAACTGAAAGAATATCATAACAAAGTATAATTCAGTTTTGATAAGTCTAATCCAATTTAATATACAAATATTTCCTTAGTGGATTCCCGCTGTAAAAATGCAATAGTTGATAAGTTAATGTTAAATGTCAATGCATTATAATAGTCAGCGGATTGAATGCAGATAGTGGATTCCTAGTGTAAAAATAAAATAGTTGATAAGTTAATGTTAAATTAGCAGTTTTAATGCCAGTGAATCTATTATATGGGTCCATTAAAAGAAAAAATGTATGTATTAATGCAAAACTAATTCGAAGAGCTTGGAAATGAATGAACAAAAATAAATAAACACAATTGATATTGTATCTCACCTGCATCCTTTTTAGGATCGTTGTCCAATTTGGGGGCCATTTGCTGCTGGCCAACAGCATTAAGAGTCACAGTAAACATCAAAACACGGAACCAATTGGAAATGAAAGAACAATGGTCTATGGTGCAAACACGGGATCACTCACTCACACACACAAAAAAAAAGTCTCCTTTAAATCTAATATATATCACTTTGTTTCCGTTTGCATAAATAAATCGAAATATATGTATGAAATGTATCTTATCCTCTACAAATATATATAATATTTCTATATATATATATATATACTTTTTTTTTTGTTCTAAACTATTTTACTTGGAAAAAACGTTATCTTCTTCTTTTTTGTTATTTTTGTTTTAGGTAATATCACAGACTAATTTCTTCTCTTAAAATAATTTGTTTAAATGTATATAATAAAGCTTGGCTTCTTCTGAGAGACGATTTTTGGTTAATCTATAAACGTACACACCGGGTATATTGCATAGATATATATATGTATGTAGGTGATGTATATATATATATAACACACGCATATATATGTACACAAGATTTCTTTTGTGCTCCTCCAAACTGACAGAGTTTTAATGGATGTTCTAGCCCTCTGCCAGATTCGCTCAATCTGCGCTATTCGTTTGCCTAGTTCTACGGAACTTAAAGGAATCTCCCTTCACTGACGATCTCACTCACATACCAACCGGAACGCACTTTCTCAACGAATAAAATGCAGATTGCAAAAATAGAAAATGTCGCCATATGCTTTTCGTGTTCTAGATGTGTGTGAGTGTATGTCTGTGTACGTTTCTATCTGTGTATGTGCGTGTACGTATATGCACACACACGCACGCCGTCCTGTATACTTGTCTCTCACACACACGCTCAAACTGCCCTCACTCTAGCCTCTTCTTCTTACTTGCGTCCAGTCGCTTCGTTCCACCACAGTATCCAACTGACATCTGTCAATGGCACGGCGTACTGCGATCGCAGCGCCGCCAATCTTCCCTCCGTTTTTCCCCAAAAAAGGAAAACAACCTTTCCTTCCACCTTCTATGTTGTTTCTGCACTATTCCTTCACTTGCTGCTTCTGTTGTTGTTGTTGTTAACCTCGACGTTGTCCATCCCACCCCTATTCCATTGTTCAACTGAAATTTGACCTAACCGCACTTCATTCAATTAACATTCACCGCATACAATAATAATAATAATAAATAAAAGAATTGTTTCTTCGAAATCAGCTTTTCACTCGATAACCTTTCAACAACAACAACAATGGCCTTACGACGAACAATGCGAAAACTGAATTGCAAATTATCAAAGCAAAACACCAGGTCGTGTGGTCGTGTTCGGAAATCGAAAATCAATACTGCTTCTTCGCTTGGCACTACTGGTATTTCGAAATTTCCATCTGACAGCATTTGTCAAACATGGCCATCTAAATAACAACAAAAGTATCTTTTGAACTATCACCAACACTGTACTATATAGTACAGTAAGTAGTAAATATGTGCGCTGAGGTCGACGTCTTCATCAGCAATTACACTCTGGTGGATCCGGAGATTTACCAGTTATGGGTTGAAGGACATACAGGTAATGAGTAAGGTTATATTTACGTTTTTTTTCGCAGGGCTTCTTTCAAAATTCAAATAACTGGATACACACGCAATCCCATTGGTTGCTTACGCTTACGTGTACTTATTAGGGTACTTCTGAAGAGATCATTGAATTTCAGGATATTTTGAAACGTTGCTGTATCAATGTTTATATTTAATGAAAGGTTAATTAATCGTTAAAAATAATGTCAATTATTCTGACAGCATGAATTATTGACAAATTTAAGCATTCATTACAACTATTGGCAAACTCTTGTATTAAGTTAAAAATAAAATAAAATTCAAATAAAAAAAAATAACAATGCACTTTATATTCTAGGTTATAATAAGTAAACTTTAAATAACATTATATACAAAATATGCCTTATAGTTAATTGATGAATTAAACATTAAGTGACTATACAAATACTAAGACAAATGAAAAATAATTGTAAATATTTCTTTATGATTTGCTTTCAATATTTAAAGCATTTCCTTATATGTTTACAGACCATTTTTTTCCCTCCCAATTGGTAATTATCAGCCCACTTAATTGCGTTGGATTATTAATATAAACATGTGATTATAAAATATTAGTCATGCAATGAATCACTTGTATATTTTTTTTTAATTTAATATTTTTAAAGCAATCTATCATCTGACATTGATATCAAGCCTTTTGAATGTGGTAAAAGTAAATTAAAAAAAAGGACACTATAATAATAATTAATGAAGAGATGATCCAGCAACCCCAGTTCACATATACAATAATTATTTATGCACTTGCAATCATTGATTATTAAAATCGGTTTGGTATAAATAAAAAAAAGTTTTTAAGTAAAGAAAATAGGAATTATATGTATCCACAATATTTTACTAAATTATTCTTTGTATTTAATTTCAATAAAATAAATATGAAAACAAATTGTTGTACGCTAAGCGAATGTTTGTTAATCCGATATAAATACAGGTATTTACAATTTGTTCAAACGAGGGTACTTTGTCAAAAGAAACATCAAGAAACAACATTTTATTTTTGAAAGAAGTAATTTATATTGTGAAAACACAAACTGGGATTTACAATTATGTACGTAACATCGAACTTATGTTAAAGTATTGTAATGGTTAAATTAAATTGAAAAAAAAATGTTTTAATCAAGAATTATGTAATCTAAATTGAAAACTTGTGTAATAATATTATTGCAGCTACTGAAGCTGTTAATTCATTGAATCTGCATGGCCTGGGCCAAACGACCGGAGCCACTTTGGAACTAATAGCAAGCGACGTGTTGGATCATTACCGAACATATTCCCTTATTGAGAAACTTTTAAGCAATCCGAACAAACTACAAGAACAATTAGAGTTCCAAATTGAACCGCAAACCAAGCAGTTGCTGATAGAGAAGTAAGAAAAAGCACATACAGACCTAAGAATATAATTACATATAATGATTGAATTCCTAGATATTACGATTTTGATGATAGCGTGATTCGGGAGCTCCTAGGTAAGAAATTGTCTTCGAGGAACCGTAAGGATTTGGATGAGGTCGCTGAAAAGACAGGTGTACCGTTAAAGTCGTGTCGGTAAGAATATCTGTTTTATTTTTTATTTCATAGTAATATCAATTCAAAATAATTCGTCTTTTCATATATTCATTCAGTCGACAATTCGACAACGTGAAAAGGATTTACAAAACCGTGGAAGAACTACCCGGTTCGATCACGCAGAATATACAGAAGCTATTTTACTTACCGGAAGAATTGGCTGGGAAGTACGCCTGTATAGTTTTCCTGGCGTGCATCCGGTTCGAGACTTCAAAACGGCGATTGCAGTATTTGAAGTTCGCCCCTTTGCAGAAATGCACTGAAATTATTATGAATAACTGGACGTATAGCGTTACAGGTTTGTCTTTGATGTATTGAATTACACTTGCTTCATGCGATACATGTGTTTCATGTTCGTAAAAGTCGTTTGTCTATTGAAATTCAGCTCAGTTCAAGTTGAGTCATCCATAAACAAAAGGCATAAAATGAACATGATATATAATATTATAAAATGATTGCATTTGCTTTAAGAAGAATATAAAAATAAAAAGGTGATCCGGTAAAAATAAAAGTGTTAATAAAACTTGTTTTAGCTCCAGAATATTATGACACAGAAATGGATAAAGAATTTTTGTTGGATTTACGAGAGCTCCGAATTCTGACTGAGCGAGAAAAAGAACACAAACAGTAATTATTTCTAAAATTATTTATTAGATAACAAATTGAATTGTACTCGTTTTAGCTTGGTGTGTGTCACATTAAAGCCGACACTATTATCCAGAAACTACACGGAACTGGATTCAAACTTTCGCGTGTATTCGAGATCAATTTTGACTATAGCCTCTTCGTTGCATAGGTCCCGTGAGCTGCGAAATTTGTTTGTCGAAATTTCACAGATTTTGGAAATTTGGAGGCAAAACGGATGGGGGTCCAAAGATTTACAACTGTTCCTCAGCGCGTATACTCAATGTGCCTTAGAATTAGACGTTTTAAGGTGATTATAATTTAAGTGTCTCCTATCGTTTAACTCTTTAAGGGGCGGTGGTATGCGCAAAGAGGAAATACCATTTAATTTGATTGGTATGTCAAGGGATGAATCTTGATAGTCCATACCATAAGATGTTGATTGAGTGGAGGAAGATGTCTAAAAATTTGTTGGGTCTAGGAATTTAGGAATTTCTGACCTCTCAAAGAGTTAACAATTTTAATAAGAAGGATATATCATGGGAATTAATTGTGTTTCTAATGTTTTTGTTTGTTACAGGGAAGTCGATTTGAAGACGACATGGGAACGATACATGAAAGTTCTATCTCATTGTATTATGATAATGTTCAATTAACGAAATTGAGAACGAAATTGAATTAATAAAGTTAATGCTAATGAATTTTGTTTGATTTATTTTACGTAACATTGTTTTCACGATTGCAATAAATATAAATGTGTCCTAGAGGGCTTCAAAATAATCGCTGATCCATTTCGATGTACATGAAAGTACATTACATTTGTATATAATATATATCAGTAAACCATATGATGCGTATTTTAAGAAAACGTCCATAAAATAAAGGCTTAAAAGACAACAGTTAATGCAAGAAATTGAGGGAATTGAGTAACTTACATTTGTATCTTTTTCTTTGCAGCTGGAAGGTCCTCTGCCTTTTCCTTCAGCAGATATTGTTTTGCTCCATTAAAGGCGTTTTCGAAGTACAAGTGTATATTGAAGTTTTCTACGTTATATCCGAACATCTCTTTGTCTTTGGGAAGTATGACGGTTTCCAACTCTAGTAGTTTGTCGTTTACAATAGTCCATTCGTTTTCTATGAAATATTTCAGCGCCATTACCGCACTGTAAATTTTTCTATGAATTTTAAGAATCCTGAAATATTAAACGTTATAATTGGATGATGAGTCTATAAACGGTTATCGCATACATCGGTTTTTTGTTGAATAGCTTCAATAGACCATCCAAAACGATTGCAGGTAGGAAGTGTAGTAACATTACTAATATATAATAAATCGTAATGTTGCTGGTCTCGCTTTTGCTTGGGTACCATAATGAATTGGACAAAGGGTTGTCCCAGACAAGACCATGGGCGATCGTCGATTGTTCATGTAAGCTAACTGAAACTACGCCGTTCGAACCACAGTTGTAGACCGTCGTGTTATTAATTTCTTCCGGCTCGCTGAAACGGCGATGTTTGATCAATAACAGCAAGCGTAAGTTACTTTGCTACTTACTTCTTAGTTTTGTACCAAGTGCCCATTAGTATTCCATTGATTGCCGCATCCACTGATACATAATCGGCGACTGCATCGGTTACATAATTAATTCTAACTATACCAGTTCCGCACGCCAGGAAAATTCCCACCGGCCCGTTGAAATTGTCAATCCATCCAGGAAGAGGATCCTTTTCGGCCGATGTAACTGTAAATATAATATGTCATATAGTTGTTTGTTGTTTTTCATTCACTTTTTTCCCCATTAGAATATATTTGAATATAGTAAATATCAATGACCGTGCAAATCGATTTTCCATTGTAATATGTAATTAAATCATTCGACTTACCGATTGACGGTCTTAAAATAATGTTTGGCACTACATTGTTTAAAAGGTCGTAAACGACATTCTCGGCTAAAGACTTTGTGAACGTATAAGTGTTTGGAAATCCTGACATGTAAAGATTCGAAAGGATCTGCAAGGTATGCGGATCCATATTCTCAGCGATCTCGATGGATTTCCTCCAATCGGCATACGGAGGATAGATTTTCTCTTCGATCACCTTTCTGGTTAGAGATGTGTGGCAATAAGCCGTTGAAACGTGCATGAACAACTGCAAAAAAAAAATACATTATAGTAACGTACATTTAATAAGCGCTAGATTGGTTACCTCGAGATTCTTCATTTCCAAAGCCAATTTGCAAGCTTCTAACGTTCCTCTGGTATTCATGATTATGGCTTCATTCAATGGTTGATCAAAGCGAACCGATGCTGCTGCATGGTAGATAATGTTAACATTCCTCTTCAACAATTCACGATCCTCAGCGCTTATTCCTTAGAAAATATGAAAAGCATATGAAATTAAAGAAAATTGTTATTTTATTTTTGAAATTATTTACCTAATCCCAATTGAACAACATCGCCAGCGATGGGAATGATTTTCGATTTCATTGCGTCCGGATACAATTCGTTCAATTTATCGAAAAGCTGAAGAACAATAATAACTTTGTTATCATCTGTTATAAAAAATGTATTGAATTGCTTACTTTAATCTTGTACATTGCATCCAATCTTTCTTGTAGGTTTAAGTCCCGTTTAGGTCTCAGTAGAATGTAGATCTTGTTGACATTCGGGCAGCAACGAAGTATTTTTTCGATGAGGACTTTGCCCATGAAACCGGTGGCTCCGGTGACAAAGACATTTTTATCCGCAAAGTATTCGGGAATACCAAAATCGTCCGCCATGGCCAATTGCTGGTGGAAGATTGAGAAGGAAGAAATGTTCACACAATATGCAGCATTATATGAATATAGAGGCTCATTGTTTTAAATTATTAGCATCACAATAGGAACGCCGTAGAATGGTGACAACGCATTTTAATTAATGGTAAAATAAACATGTAGACTTCACTTTTGTTTTACTAAATAAATATTTGACAAGTTTGGGTGACATTTTTTTGTTGATTAACATATTTAAGACTTTTGGAACAATGGAGCAGAAAAGGAAGAGCAAAAGTAGAGTTTCCGTGAGGATGAGCGAAAGTAAGAGACATTCTGTGAAAAGTTCAGTCCAGACACCGGCAGTAACTGAAGATCCTGTCAAAACTGACGGAAAAGAGGAAACGGAGAATGCACAAGTCGAAGGCGAAGCGGGTGACCAGAAGCAGGATGAAGTGGACAAACCAAAGCAGGACGGTGAGGGTGAACCGAAGGAGGGTGAAGCGGTTGAGAGACCATCAGTAAAGTTATCTGCTAAGATGAGTACTAAAAAAATGAAAAAGTTGATGGAAGGAAAGCTGAAGACAGATTTCGACAGTTGCTTAACACCAGAAGAAAAGAAGGCGAAAAAAGATGCGAAGAAAAAGAAAGGAAAGGGAAAAGGAAAGAAATCTAAATCGGTATCCGAGTCTGCAGATACAGGTTAATTACAAATCAATATTTAGATGTTAAACCATAGTAGACATCTTAAATAGTATATGACAATTTTGTTTTTAAGACAAAGAGAAAATAGAAGGGTCTTCTGCCAATTTGGATGCTCCTGAAAAAGCTGAAGAAGAAGCGGGTAAAGAAGAGGAAGAAGGTAAAGTTGATGAAGAAGCTAAAGCTGAAGAGAAATCGAAAAAACCAAAAGAAAAAGAAGCAAAAAAGAAAAAGAAAGGAGAAAAGAGCACTGAAGGATCTGAAGCTTCAAAGAAAACGAAAGCTAGTCCTAAAGAGAAAAAGAAGAAGGGCAAAGAAAAGAAAGATCGAAAGAGCGTATCTTCAACTAAAAGTGACAAAAAAAGTAAAAAGTCTGTAACTATGGATGTTTCGCAGATGGAAGTTGACGATTCGAAAAAGGATTTGGCTGCATCGGAAAGTACGAAATTGTCAATATCTCAATCTAGGGATCTGCACAAAGAAAGTAGGAAAAGAGTATCAGTCAATAAGAAATCAGAGGTTGGTCAAAAGCAACCGAAGAAACGTAAGAAAACTAAAGGTCTATATGAGACACACTCTCATTTGAGCTGTTTGTTAATTGATGAGACTTTCAGATGACCTGGGAAGCGATAGCGGAAGAAGAAGGTCTAAAGATTCTATTTCAAGTATTAAAAAAGGTCAGAAGAGAAGGGGTTCGACCATCAGTGATATGAGTGAAATATCTTTGAGAATGCGCCAACAATCTATCAGTAGTAGAGCGTCTTCAATGAGAAGATCATCAATGTTTAGTATGGATAGCTCATCATCAACATTTTCATCATCGGAAGAAGAAGTAGTGAAAAAACGGGGAAAGAAAAAAAAAGACAAGAAAAAGAAGACCGAGGCAGATGTGGAGAAAAAGAAGGAGGAAGATGAGGATAAACCGAAGAAAGATGATAAAAAGAAGTGTCCAGCTAAACGAGGTGAAGGAGATCAAAAAAAAGTTAAACTGACTGAACCTGAGGAGGAAGCGAAAGAAGAAGCACCCAAAAAGAAGAAAAAAGGAAAATCAAAGAAAGGAAAAAAGGAGAAAGTAAATTATTACATTATTCAATAAATAATTTCTATTAAGCTTCTTTAAAAAAAACTTACAGGAAGAAGTGACTGAGGGTAGTTAAGTATTTATGAGTGTTTGTTATTCTGAAATTTTACAAATTAGTAGGAAAAGAACCAAAGGTAGTTGAATCGGCGACAAAAGAGAAACAACCTAAAAAGGGAAAGAAAAAGCGTAAAGGGAAGAAGGTTCACTATATTTAGCCCGATTAAAAAGAAATGTATAATAAAATCTTGTATTTGTTATAGGAGAAAGGGGAGACTTTGTCTGCAAAAGAAAGGTCGAAACGCGACGAAGAAAGAAAACTAATGGCGGAACAGGAAGCTATCAGACTTGCAGAGGAGGAACGAATTAGGGCAATAGAAGAAAAGAAGGAAGCAATCGCTACAGAGAAGCGAGAGGTCATTGAACAATCTCTTCGCGAAGAGCAGCTACAGCAGAGTTTGGAATTTCGCGATTCCATAATACGAGCTGGACACGATTCCTTCATGGCGGATAAAATTCAGAGCGATGTATTTTCGATTTACTTCCTCAGATTTTCTATTATATGATTCATGCTAAAATTACAGTGGGAAGATTATTTGCGTTGCGATGGACTCCCGAAGTGCTGGAATCCGGCTGATATGAACACTTACCTGCACATCTGGGAGAAAACCTTGAAAACTGCGGGCATCAAAGACGCGGCCCGAAGAACCGACGAAATTATAAAGGTTATTTAGATTTTCCATAGTAAGATGCAATAACTTTCTCCGTGTAACAGCTTTTAGATGACTTAGAAGATTTAATTAATGATCCGTTCGATGAGACTGTTAGTAGGCAACAGGATTGGAAATGGGTATATATATATATATGTTTATGATGGTAATCATATATATGTTTTGTACAAGGAAAAATCGTTTTGCAGATTCGTGAAGAATTTCGAGATTACCAAAGGGAAAGTTTGGAGTACGCCACCTATCATCTTTTGAGGTATATTGGTAATCGTATGAATCGCATCGATATTCCAACGGCGGATTACTTATTGTCCAATAGCAATTTCGGTTATTGCCTTTGGACGCTTGTTAAATTACCGACGCCAACTCCGAATCCTAGGATACCGGGAAGGTAACTACTGCAAATTATTAAAAATTATATTCAATTAGGAGAGTATAATTATTTGATTAGGTCTCGCTTAGAGCTCGATTGGCCTTATATGTCGGCGGAAATTCTATTTCCTCACAGTCTTCTATTCGATAATTTGGCTGTTAGAGGAATGTACGCTAAGTACGATCACTTGAGCGATACAGCCGGTTCATATGACCCGCCGGAGAATCCAAACTTTTATATACAAGGTAAACTAAATATGATAATAAAGATTATGCAAATATTTAAGTTTCAAATTCGCGCAGAGCTTAACGATTGCACAGCCAAGGAGTGGTTGTTGAAAGTACATTATAAGTACGATAAGAGAGTAATAGTCAAGAAAGAATTGGAAGAGGTCGTCCAGGAAGACGGGACTGTAGTGATGGTCGAACCAGAACCGGATCCGGAAATACCACCAGACCAGATGCCTCCTGTCGTACCATGGCAAAAATTGGAACCCTCCGCCAGCGAATACGCATTAGCTATTGAAAGTAATACTATAAAAATCCAGTAAATCAATTTATACTAATATTAAAGATACATGTGACAGAGGAAGTATTCGACCAGAAATCAATTTTACCTTTTGAACACGATGAAAGTGTTCTGAACATGAGGAAATTCTGCATATTGGGTGGTGTATATTTCTTAGATCTATTCGTGCAACCGCCTCAACCGCAAGAGATGGTTTCTTTTGAAATTTTCATTTCTAACCGTAAGTCTTCGGAGGTATTGTTTTCAAGTTATTTATTTTCATCATTTCAGTGATAATACCTTGCTGCATAGAAGAGGCGCATTTTTACGTGGGTTACACACCTCCTCCGCCTACGGATCCCGATGTAAGGAAGGAACCCGAAGAGATTGAAGAGGAAATGATTCGCACCGAGAGGGAATTGGACGAATTGATTTTCATCAATTTAAAGTATATTTATTATTTAAACTTTGAGTGAAATTAATGATTCAAGCAATGTTTTAGGTTGCCCTCTCATGTGTACTGGTTCGAGGCTCCGGTTGTCTGCCAATGGGATCAAGAACTGAAAGTGTGGACGACGCGCGACATTCACGATTTTAAATTCTTCGAGGACAAAGGCTACATGACTTTCAGAACTGGAAAATTCGGTGCGTTCGCTTTAGCCAACTTCAAATATCCGAATTTACCATTCCAGGCATGGGAAATTCGACCGGAAGACGAGTAAGGTATAGCTTCAATCCTTACAATTTAGAGTTATTCTACTTCTTTTCAGCGGAAGCGTCACGTTTCAGCTAATGGCTGCAATACTAGTAGTGGAATTTAATGTCAAAGGGTATTTCATTTGTATTAGCCAAATGCAGAACGAGCCAAACGACGCCATGCAGGTTCATATTGGGAAATACTACAAATTACCGAAACTTATAAGTGTACAGTTCTTAATTTTTATATGTATAAATTCACTTTTTTTGATAACACTGATTTGTTTCAGATTATGAAAAGTTACGGCGTCGATTTGTTCCCAGATTGCGATACATTCCAATTCGTAGAAGGTAATAGTTAAATTGTGCCAATAACAACAATAAAGGATATTTTTTTGTTATTCTAGTATATTAAAAAGGTATTATAAAATGGTTTGTTCGCGTCATTCAGCTTATATCGATAACAATTGATTTAGATTCATTATTTGCTATTTCTTATGTAAATTCGTTGGTGACGGTGCAGGCGACGATTTAATATTATTCACACACTTTGTAGTATAAAATGATCAAATTAACATTTCGTAACGGTTAAATCGATAAAATATTCAAATATTAAGGTTCAAGTTTAAAATTGCTTGATAGCATATAATATTGTAAAGAAAGATAATACATTAGATAATTATTTATAGATTATAAGGACTAGCATTTTGGTTACTTTATTAATTATATATTGATTTTTTAATCATTTAATATTTTTAATGTACGTTCGATACGTACATAATTATTTACAGTTATTTGACTGATCGAACGTACAAATATACCTACGAAAATACAATGATTTCAGTTGTACAGTATTTTGGTTAAGACGAAATATGTTTTTTTTTCTTTACCTCGTTTTAGGAAAAAATAAATGATTTCACCGCTAGACTGAAATTGAAATGAAATAGCAAAGTATACGTTCGTATGAACACCAAGTACGTTCGTGCGAACGAAGAGGCACGTGTAAATGTATTTACATATTATGGTACATTCGCTTAACGATAACTTGACCTAAGTTTAAAAAAAACAATCTATATAAACTAAATTTACTTTAATTGATGATTACGAAACAATATAACTATATTAATAGAAAATTGTGACAAATTTACTATATTTAATTTAACATTTTCTTGGGCATAGTGACTTTTCTGTTAGAACTTGTGATTGCTTTAAATATAATTTTTTGTTACAAGTTTGATGAATGAATTTTGTTTTTCAAGGTACATGTGAAAAACACTACCCAATGGAGAGGCATCTGTACTACGCTCTAGCTTTTGGTAGTGTGTGCTACAATTTTTCTTGGTCCAGATGGAACGTGACGTTAGATTATCGCAAAGTGGCTTTTCAGATGCGCTTATATAAGTTTAACAAGCCAAAACAAGTATGACGAAGCCTAATCAATATATACGCAATAGTGAGTTTTATCTCTTCGGTTACAGTTAAACTACACTCTGGCAATGGTGACGCCCCTAAAGGCCGTACAAATCGACTGCACGGAGGTGAGTCAAACCTTCAGCGAGGAACCAGTCGAGAACTGCAAGGTATATACCGATAAATACCGATAATCCTACTTATGCAATATTTGATGATATTATTCCCTTCGCTTTCAGTTCTATCCGGACATGTTCTTTTTGATAAGGGGCGTGAGTAATATGGCTACCAAGAATAAGTTGCAGGCCGCTCCTTTAAACATGATCAACAGTTTATCGAACCTCTTCATGGCCACCCGCTTCCTCAGCTTCTCCTAATCAGCAACAAATAAATGAACGCCGAAAGGGCTCCAATAATTATGTCTATCGTTTATTGTATTGAATCATATACATGAAGCACGGTTTCTTGGCAAATGTTCAGTGAACAGGCGTATGCTACTCAATGTGCTTGTGTGCGGGAAGGTGCCCTTCAAAATTGAATCTCTCCGTCGTGTGAATGCGCATGCATCTATCTTTATCACACGCACTTACGTTAAACCGGTTAAAATGTCTCGGGTCACATTTTCTCTATCACAAACGAATTGAACCTGAGGCCACACCGCAGCCGCCGCTGCAGATACTGGCAAGCCGTGATCGTGCGAGGGTGGTCTCGAAATCGCCAAGAACTCCCTGTCCTGCAAATGTGTGATTTTTAAATTATAACATTGACCTTCCTTTTGAATTACTATACATATATATTTGTTTTAAATGTAAGTTTAATTTTATTTTATATGCGGTGTACATCTGGTTTTATAGTATTTTATTTTTAAATTATTGAGGTAGGCTCAGCCTATCTTCCTTTCATTCTCGTTCTCCGTAACACCTCACAATGAAATTGCTTTCATCTACATTTCAATTTACTTATTTGAAAATTCACGAAACCAATAGAAATCAGAGAACGTTATATATTTTTTATATATCTATATTCAGCCACATATACGAGTATTTGAATTTTCGTAAGCAAAAAAGCGATAAATATTAATCTATTCCTGAAGTCATAGACCAAAACTGAGCACGATGATAAAAATAATAATTTTTAGTTATATCTGTTGCGCCTCACTTTTGTTTACCAAAACTTGCGAACGAGCCTTGAAATACATGTAGACTTAATTTCTAGTATTTGTATTTTACTTAATCAATAAAAGTATAATTCATTTCCGTGTGAAATGTTCAACTGTGATTTACGATTTACTTCAAAGTTTGTTTACGAGCTGACGTAGATTACATTCGTTTAATCTAAGATTATTTAATTCATGAATTCAATTATTGATAAAATGCATCCAGATAAACATTGTAAATTTTACTTTGCAGTGTTATTATTTTTGTTCCCAATCTTGTTTTTAACAACTAACGAACATGTCGAGAGAGCGATCCGCCCGAAGATTTTACCGAGCCGAATCCAGTTCAAATCTGATGGCTTACATGGATAGAGGCATGCTGGCCGAGGAGGAAAACAGATGGACCTTCGAGATTGCGTGGGAAGCGGCTAATAAAGGTAGAGCAAAGGGGTTTGCTTGAGTTCTTTTAATAAATCGCTTGATAGTTGGAGGTATTTACACGGTGATACGGTCCAAGGCGTACGTTTCTACGGAGGAGATGGGCGATCAGTATTGTCTGATCGGTCCATATAAAGAGGCCAGTGCAAGAACTGAAGTGGAGGAGAGTCCGTTGGGATCGCAGTCTCTGAACGAGGCGGTTTCGGCGATCAGGGATAAAGGTTACAAAGTATAGTTGGTGACTTTGTGGGTCGTGAACTTTTGCTATTGATTGATGATTTATGTAGGTTGTGACGGGCAGGTGGTTGGTTGATGGAAATCCTCAGATCATCCTGATGGACGTGGGATCGGCCGCTTGGAAGTTGGATGAGTTCAAGACCGAGCTTTGGGAGAAGAGCTCGCTGGGTGTTCCACATCTGGATGTTGAAGCAAACGATGCAATAATATTTGGAAATATGGTGGCGGATTTCTTAGAAGAGGTGTACATATTATGTTATGAATGCCATCAACGGAAAGTCTAACTATTTTGCTTCTTAGTTTCATACGAGCGCCAAACTATGCGCCGGTGGTGGGCAGCCAAGAATCGTGGCGCATTTTCACGAGTGGCAGGCAGGAATCGGATTGATGTTGACCAGATTACGACACGTGAACGTTGCCACCGTGTTCACAACGCATGCCACCTTGTTAGGAAGATACCTGTGCGCTGGAAACACGGACTTTTACAACAATCTGGCTACTGTACAGTTATGCAAATGCTCATCTAAAACGCTTTTATTATATGGTATCAATTTCAGTTCAGCGTCGACGAAGAAGCGGGAAAACGGCAGATATATCATAGGTACTGCATAGAAAGAGCGGCCACTCACCTATCCCATACATTCACCACGGTTTCAGATATCACAGGTAGTAGGATGCACTCGAGTTGTTGTTTCTTAGACAGATGAGCTTGGTTTCAGGCTACGAGGCGGAGCATCTGCTGAAGCGAAAACCTGATGTTATTACACCGAACGGCCTGAACGTAAAGAAGTTTTCCGCGCTCCACGAATTTCAGAATTTGCACGCCTGTTCGAAAGAGAAGATACACGAATTCGTTAGGGGTCATTTCTACGGGTAAACTGTCTACAAAAGCAGTAGTCATAAATCTATTAATTGAAATTTCAGGCATTACGATTTTGATTTAGACAAGACTTTATATTTTTTTATTGCTGGTCGATACGAATTCGGCAACAAAGGCGCAGATATATTCATCGAGGCTTTGGCGAGATTGAACCACCTGCTTAGAAATATTAACTCGGATATAACGGTTGTAGCCTTTCTCATATTCCCAGCCAAGACGAACAATTTTAATGTAGAATCGTTGCGGGGTCACGCGGTCACGAAGAGCTTGCGTGAAACCATCAACGACATTCAGACGAAGATCGGAAAGCGAATGTACGAGATCTGCTTGAGCGGTCGCATGCCGGATTCCAAGGAGCTGTTGGAGAAGGAGGAAATGGTGAGGCTTAAGCGGTGCATTTACTCGTTGGGAAGAGATGGTTTACCACCGGTAACCACACATAACGTCGTCGACGATTGGAATGATCCAGTCCTATGCTCGGTGCGAAGATGCAACCTATTCAACAGATCGAACGATCGAGTTAAAATCGTATTTCATCCAGAGTTTCTTAGCTCAACTAATCCTTTATTCGGTTTGGACTACGAGGAGTTTGTCAGGGGTTGTCATTTAGGAGTGTTTCCCAGTTATTACGAGCCATGGGGATACACTCCGGCCGAGTGCACCGTTATGGGAATACCCAGCATCACCACGAATCTATCGGGCTTCGGTTGTTTTATGCAAGAGCACATCGCGGATCCCATGTCCTACGGAATATATATAGTAGACAGAAGGTTTATCTCGCTAGACGACAGCATCAATCAGTTGGCGCAGTACATGTTCGATTTTGCGCGCCTCAATAGAAGGCAACGAATTATCCAGAGGAACCGAACCGAACGGTTAAGCGATATGTTGGATTGGAGAAACTTAGGAGTCGTGAGTATACTCGAGTTATAATATTCTACTCCAAACACTAACTTCGATATTTCGAAAAAAATCAGTACTACAGGCAAGCAAGGATGAAGGCATTGCATGCGCTCTTCCCCGAACTAGAAAAGGAAATCGAAAACGGAATCGGCTGTTCCATCAAGTATCCAAGACCGATTTCCGAACCTCCAAGTCCAACGTCCAGTAGACACACCACACCGGCCACCTCGTTGCATGGAAGCGACGATGAATCGGATTCCGTCGATGAAGAAGGAGAGGTAAATAACAAGATAAATGTTGTACGTATAATAAACCAAAGTTTATATTTTACAGCTGGAAGAATTGAGAAATCAACGTTAACACGAGAATGTTTAAAAATATACGAATACGATCCGAAGAGTGTTAACATAAGTTTTTACAAATATATAAACTGTTTGTTTCGATGTTTACTTGTATGTTCAATGACCACCGTTTTATAAGCTATATGTATTTCCACTAATAGTGGACAATTGGCGGCCATTCGTTTCCTTGTTATGTAGTTTATATAATACGATTTATATACGATCACAACTTTATTTAAATAATATTTTATTTTTTAATAATACAACCTTTGTTTTCTTCCTCCATATTTTTTAAAATCAGCGTTGCTTAACTTTAATTAACTGTCAAACGTTATTATTTTGTGTGTTTTCAACTGGTGATAGTTGTAATTTATTGAAAATGAAATGGCGTCGTTCAATATTTCTGCAGAACAGGTATCCTTTTGGATTGCAAAAAGAAAGGAATCCAGTGGGATTTCGGTCACTGCACAAATTGGTGGATGACTCGATGTTTCGATTATCAATACTGATTGGTAACTATATTTCCTACTTCTGCGTCCTCATGGATTTTACGAAATACGTCAACAAATACTCGTCGGAAAACAAAATGAACATGGTAATCAATGGACTCCTCATTGGTATTAATTAATACTTGTACGAATTATCGCGAGTAGTTAACTTTTGGATTTCATTTGCAGAAGAAATTTACTGTTTCGATCTTTTGTTCATGATCGACATTGTTATAGCTTACTGCATACAGAAATCTGGCGTTGTTATTAGGCATCGAGCAGTTATGTGCCTCGACTTCATATCGTTAATACCGATTGAGAGTATTTACATCATATACTTAGGACAGAACATCAAAGCAAGTAATTTGTATCTTTTTTTTCAATCTTAAACTATTCTCTAATAATTTTCATAGGTATACTATGGGTTTCGGTTGCGCTACATCTTGAGATGCGCTCGGTATATAGTGCCGTATTTCAAACTGAAATTTAAACGACACACCGTCCATAAGATGCTGTTCAGATTGATAATGATAATTTCATTTTTGATGATTACTGGTGCTTGCATGAAAATTACAATAATGTAAATATAATAATTATATTTTTAAATATCACGCTAATGCCAAACTATATACTAGGTGTAAGAAGTACCCCCAAGAATTGAAGTATATGAATTGCTCAAAACTAGACTTCTTTGATTATACTTTAAGTTATTACATGACTTTTGGGCCTGTTTCTTACGCGGAGGTGATGATAACAGGTAAATATGAACTGCGAAGAAATCGGAGATGTTTGATTTTTTTTATTGTCAGGCACTCGTTTCGGAATGACTACGTTTTTCGGTAGCGCCTATTTGTTCTTAATGTACGTCATAATGGAACTATGCAGGTGGAGACTGATTTGCAACTATATAGTTCAAATCAGCGACAAGTACGAGTTTGTGATCTCCTGCGATTTAGCGCAGAATCAGGTGAGGAAATTGAGGAGTCGCCTGATATCAGAATTGAAATGGACGTACAAGGATGAATTGTACTTGGACTATCTTAGATCTTGCCTCACCACCTTCTGGAAGCAAGATCATATCAGGACAGACAGAAGTGACATTCGCGGATACGCAGTAGCAACGATGCCTGGTAAACTAAATTGCGAGCTTAAGATTAATTTAAATAAAAAATGATAATTTCAGAGACCATCCACACTGAAATCAAATTGGATTTAACATGGAATATGTTGAAGCATTCAATATTCTTTCGAAATGAGCCAGTTAACGTGCTCAGGTATCTTTCAAAATTTGTTAGGTATAAATATAGGATGACTGGTGATACTATTTACATCAGGGGGCAATTTAAAACTTGTATGGTTTATGTAACTACCGGAATTATTGGCGTTTTGTCGGAAGAAAACGGCGAAAGAAATTTGATTTCTTTATCATGTAAACTTCATGCTTTCATTCGTATATGGAAAACATTAATGAAGTCATTTGTAGCTGGAACCTGTTTGGGTGAGCTTTCATTATTTTATAATGTTCCTGCAAAGACGACGGTTATTTGCACCACATACTGCGAGATACTGACCATATCCAATAACAAATTCATCCAGTTTAAATATACTTATCCGGCTGTTTATGAAAAGTTGAGAAAGATGTCCAGAGAGAGGATAGAATTGGCTAAGAATTATGTGAAGATAAGGAAGAAATTCAAGGATAATTGTGGATGGAAAATTAATGATCCTAGTTTAAGGTAAGTCTCGTCTCGTTAACAAGTTTTGATCAAATAGAAGATCATTATTCTATTTTGTGATCCAATAATATTTTACGGAAGATTGTTGTTATGATTTTAGATATATAAAACAGATTTTACGTATGAACAATGATGTTGAAGATATGTTCACCATCGGACACGAACGGCAAAAACATTGGTTCAAGGACGTAGCATTTTGTCCGTCGTTCTTAACAATGTACGTGATGGCGGACAAATTGGGCGAGAACTTGACCAGGCACTTCGTTAGAACAGGGCTATTTTTCAAAATCAATCCAAATTCGACGCTTCTCAAGATGTGGTACTGTTTGCTCCACGTACTCATCATGTTCACATGTATAGTATGTCCGGTAGGCGCAGCCATGGACATCAGCGACTTTTCCCAAATCTACGACTTCTTCATGCAGTTCGTCACGTTCGTGTATATTTTGGATTTGATTTCCATAGCTTTCATCGCGGTAGTCGACAAGGATGGAATGCATACCGACTTTGATTATATCTTCCATCTCAAGATGCACAGCTCCCAATTTCTGGTTGACTTGATCTCATCGTTACCGTTAGAGTTAGCGGTTAACATACTGCAGGGTCCTCTGGAAAAGAAAATATACAGGATGCTCCAACTGAATCGCCTACTGAAGATTCAGCAACTTGTAGTCTACTTTAGAAATCGACAAGTGTTCACCTCGTGGTACATGCTGTTTGAATCGCTCGTAAAGATGATTGTTTCCCTGATATTGCTGATCCTCATCGGCTTCTACGTCTGCATCTATAACGATATATTTAAGTTTACCTCAGTAAACTCTATTGGTGGATATTTCGGATTTATGATGGCTCTCAGCTTCATTTACACTTTCTACTTCTCCACTGGTTTGATGTCGATTTCGTACTCGCGCGCAATTAACTTTATTCCCTTGATTGGTCTACAGTTTGTAGCGTTCATATGGAAGTTAACAATAATACCGCAGGTGATAGCTTCGTTCGGTCTTAATTACACAACCACAGTCGGTTACGAGAATTTAGTTGATGACATCCGGAAGGTGATGTACTTGTACGAGTTCGAATTGAACGAGAGAAAAAAGATATGGAAACTGCTTCACATGAACTACGTATTCCAGAAAGGCTTGTACTTGATTAAATTCGAGTCGGTGAAGAAGTTCATCGGACTATCCTTATACAAGCGCCAAGCGGCGATGCTCTACACCAGATACTTCATGAAGGAGAAATTGTTCGCGCATTTGTCAGAAGAATTAATCAAAGACATGAATGAGATTTGCAAAGTCATTCTGATGCCCAAAGAACAGATTGTCGCCTACGCCGGTTCTTTTACCAACGAATTTTACATAATAATCAGAGGGTCAGTTGGATTATTCAATTCTTCGGGTAAATTAATGAAGACGCTTACGATCGGAGATTCTTTCCTTTTAATAGAATCGCTGAGTAAAGCCAAAGGTGTATACAATATCATAACGTTGACGGATTGCAAGTTGCTGTACTTGCCCACGCATTGGATGATGAGGAAATTTCTTAAATATCCCAATGAGTACGCCACTTTGACAAACACGATCAAGCAAACATTAGATATCAAATTGTTGGGACATCTACAGCAAATAGAAATATCTTCGAATAAGCTACCTAGCCAAGAGGATACCACGCAATCTTTTAAGACATTCAAAAATCAGTATCACATTTTCATAATGGGATTCGGAAAAATGTCCGTGATGAGTTGGTTCTTCTTCAAGTTCACAATCTACCCGAACGGGAAATTCTGGTTTTACTGGGAAATCTTCCACTTGGTTTTCGCCTATATAACAGCCTTCATTGGATTTTTACCGCTTACAGCTTACAACAGCTTTACATCGCCGTGGTTCTTCATCTTCAGAATATTCGATTTAGTTGCTATAGCAGACATATTTATGCAACACTACGTAATATTTTACAATCGGATAAAAATTGAGGTATCACATCCTTGGCGTACCTCCATAAACTACTGGTCCACGAACTTCATCATTGATCTTATTGCGTCGATTCCGTACGATCTGATCCTGATGAACAGCATCGAAACAGTCACTGCGGTTCAGAAAATAATCATGTTCAGATCAAACCGTTTGATCCATCTCTACAGATTCCTTGGATTCTACAAGTACTGCAATCAAACGTACATGACCGATCTGAAGGTGATCATCGTTCTCAACTTTATTTTAACCATTTTGATGTTGTTCAACATACTATTCTCCACCATATTTTTTGGTCCGTGCACCTTCGATTTGGACAACATTACATTGACGTGCGGTGATCTCACATTGAATGCCTGGGATGTTTACTGCAACTACCTCTATAAATTTATGAAGTGCATATTCAACAGTGGATTTTTTGACCAGAAGATTGAATCTGAAATGGTGCCCAATTTCTGTCTTGTCAACGTATTCGGATTGATTTATGTAACAATTTTCGTTTGCATCATGACTGGAACGAATCTGTTTAGGAATTCGCATCTGACTACTTTCCAGATTCGCATGCAACGGCTTGTAAACTATATGAATCTGCGACGGTTGGACAAACAATTGAGGAATGAGATTATTAAGCATTACGAACATCTTTGGCTTCTGCACGAGGGAAAGTCTTTGGACAGCGTATTTCAATACTTCAACGATACCATCTATCAAGACTTGTTTTTCTCTCAGTACGCGCCTATTTTAAAAAATACTTTTCTGTTCAGAGATGTCGAGCATGGCGTGCTGAAAGAACTGTTTTCTTACCAAGAGTTATCGAGGGACCTGTTTTTAATACGTGGTATTATTATAAAGGTGAATAACATCCAGAACAAGATGCACATCATACTCAAAGGCCACGTTGAAGTTTTGGGTCCGGACTGCACGCGCATGCAAGTGTTGGGAGTTGGCAGCGTCTTCGGATGTTTGGATAACGTTAAAAACCACCGTTCTACGTTGACTTACGTCGCTAAAACACACTGCGAACTATTGACCATTGCCACAATGAAATTTTATGCGATCTGCGCGAAATACTCGGACTTCTATAATCACTTTCGATATTTGGTGCGGCGTTCAAATATTGACTATATAAAATCCGGGGATAGCGACAAGGTTTTAGAGATTGTGACCACTAGTAAATCCATGATTACGAAGAGCAAACGCTATTTAGCGGCGTTTAATTTTCTGTTCAAAGTTAGGAAACGTAGTAAATCATTTGAAATCGCAATGGTTATATATTGCCTCGCGTCATTCTACATCGAATGTTACCAGAAAATAGTGTTCGATTATTCCTATCAAATGGTAATAATATGCTACTTCCTCGATCTGATTACTTGGTTTAAAATTTACAAAAAATTCCTCACATCATTCGAAAATATTTACGGCCTGCAAGTGTATAAAAGAAAAACTATTGCTTTAAGATACATCAGAAATTACACTGAATTCTTACTGGACTTTGCCGGTGTGTTTCCGTTCGAAATCATATCATTGATCTTTAACAGAGGGAATAGTTTTTGGATCATCTGGAGTTATGGAAGAGTTAATCGTCTGCTAAAGATCGTAACGGTTTTCCTATTCGTAAGATCCGTGAGGAATCGATTGCATGTAAATGTGACTTTGGTGAGAGGAGTTTGGATCCTGTTGGTTATAGTGACGTTTCAACAGCTCACCATGATGATCATCGTCAGAGACACGATGATCCAAGAAACCTGTGAAAACAGTCATGTCTGCTTATATTTCATGGCTATTGTGCTTCAAATTTATATAATGTCGTCGGCTTTCATTGCACCTTTTATGTATTCGAATAACAATGAGCATCTGCACAAGTTGATCGAATATTCGCTTTCGTACACTTTCATTATACTCGTGACTAATGTCCTCTCGATCTACGTATTTTCTGAAGGCGTCTCCTCCTGCCAAGTACTCTACTTCAGTAAATTCCGCTTCGACAAGTACATTTCTCAATTGTCCCAGGATTTGGCTTCCAAAAATATTTCGCCTCCTCTTCGTCGAAGGGTGGTGAATTACTTCAAGAACTTGGGTGAAGGCGGATGGAACGTTCAGTTTCCAAGTTTCTTACGTGACGCTCCCTATTACTTGAGAGAAGGCGTTCTGGATTCAATGTACGGGTTTCATTTGCGAAATCATCCTGTATTTAGACGATGCCACGTCGACTTGGTCAGACAGATTGCATCCACATTTACCACCCTGTATTTCTTCGATGGTGATTTCATCGCCAACATCGGTGACATTGACGGGAAGATGTATTTCATACATACCGGACAGCTTTTGGGTTTGTCCGAGGACACTTTAGATTACGAGGTTGTCGATAGACATTTCGAGACTGGCGAACATTTCGGATTCGAGCAGCTTTTCCAACTTAACGTTGGCCACAAGTACAGTTACAAGGTTATTTCCAAATGTATTATTCTGGTGCTCTCTTCTAAAAATGTCCTGCCTTTGTTGGATTTCTTTCCAGCATCTAAACATATGATATATGATATGATATGAAAACAAAATGTATATATTCTTAATTATACATATGATTGTTGTATATATTTTATTCAAAATCAAATTGACAAGATAACATATTGTAAATTTAAATGTAATAATAAACATCTTTATTTATAATTGTATACACTTGGAATGTGAACTTATTATTAAATATTTATATATGAAACCATACTACATTATAATATTATTAATAAGACAATCATCTTTACATTACTTTAAAAGACTTATTGCTCTTCATTTCAATTAAACAGAGAAATTTATATAATAATGAAACTAGGCTGCAAATTCTCAGAATTGTTATAGGCACACCATAAAATTAAACTGTAATATTTAGTTTAATCTAAATCTATTTTATGTATATTATTGTAAAATCAAGGAAATAATTGTTGTTGCGCATTCACTGATTTTTTATTCACTCTTAGGAGCTATAACATTACAATATTAATGCGTAAACATATGCAGGCACTTTTTTTTATAATATTTCATAGAATTTCTTTTTTGAGCAAACTGTTACAACACAATACAATATCTATAAATACACACAATATATGTCTTACTATTACTCATTATTCTAATTATACAATATTTGTTGTTCTAATACCACATACATATTTATAAATCTTTTAATTATATGTATATATTTTTCATTTAATCCCACAGATTTTCTAACATACTAATTTATTTAATATATTTATTTCTCAAATCCATACGAATTAAATTACACTTTTTTTATCTCATTTAATTCGTAGCTTCAGAATTGTATAACCATTTTAATTTCTATTTATAAGATGTGAAATTTTGTAATTATCGTCGTTTCGTAATAGGCGTATTAGTATAGAACTGTAAGTACAGTTAGTGTTCTCATATTAACTTGTTCAATTATATATAAAACTAGTAATCACATCTCTCCTTTAAAACCAAACTACTTTAATCTCGTAACATTAAAGTTTAAAATTACGATTAGATAAAGCATTTTATTGTAAAACTGCATCAAGAAGATCCAATAATCTAGTTCAGCGTTTCTCAACCGTATACCATGCGTCCCAACATATTTGTTCTGTGACCCAACTTTTCTAATAAACATTAATGCTAACCATATGTTGAGAAACGCTGATCTAAATTAACTATTTCTCTTTTAAACGTTAAATTTTTCAAATAGTATTAAAATTAATAAATTGAATGATTAAGATTTGATAACTGGTTTAATAATGTTTTTGATGTGTATTTGCATAGTCAAAGTAAGCAGATAATCGGAATTTTGGATTTGGGAAGTGTGACGGAAAATAAATGTTTGTTGTGTGATGAGGTGAAAAAAATGAAAGAAAAATAATATTGAAAAGCAAATAAAAAGCAGCAGTCTCTATTGTTTTGTTTCTTTTATTACAAATTTGTATAAATCTACCAAAGAAATAATGATTGGTAAAAGTAATAATGTATTATTCTGCATGCTCCCTAGCGACTTGACTAGTGGTTTCTTTGGGTCTTGTTGCCTTGGCAATGATTTTAATGATGGGACTATATACGATGGGCCACATGAGGAACAATACGATACCCATGTAGTTGACCGCTCCGTAAGCTTGCCAATACTTTGAGAAGGTGAGCAGCGCAAACGGAATCATGCACCATCCCATGAAACCAAAGGTGTATATTCTCAGAGCAATATAACTTAATGTGTCCATGGGTTTCTTTTGGAAGATTGCAGCCACGTGTGGATTCTTTTTCAAGATGCCCTGCCACTGTTCATAGAACAAAATTTAGTTCGTTCATATGGAAATAAGAGAAGTGTATCAACTTACGTCCTTTTCCATATACATAACCATGAACTCGAAGATGAAGCATGTGTAATAGCCGGAATGGAAGCCGTGCCAAATTGCTAAGAAAAGTAGGGCAGATCCTTGGCTCAAGTGACGGTTGCCCAGGAACTTCAAACGTTTGTAAACGTATTGGGCTACCCAATGGTTAGTGTTAATATTAAATGATTGAATGTAGTGATTGAACTCGGTCGCCGTCTCAAATCTCACGATGTCCACGTTGGCCAAACCATCCCATTTGATGTTGCCAGCCTCGTCCTTGCCGTTGTGCGTTACACCTTCAACATCAAATTGCTAAATACTCGTACATCGCTAGGCGTTTCAAAAAAAACATACCAAACATAATGCAAGCGCCTTCTGTGATCAGCCAGCAGGAAATATATTTGTAGAGTGCGATTCTGCCCCAAACTCCAATCAAGAAGTACCTCTTAATGAACGACATCTCAACAAACGATTCGCTCAAAATGAAATCGTCGTTGACGAAAATACCGACTACTTGAAATATAGCTAAATACATAACACCTAAACCAAGACGCTTCAGCGCTGGGTCGATGCAATTTGGAGGCTTTCCTTCCTAAAAAAAAAACGAAACTAGTTGAGTACCTCTCGAACCATTCACTACCGTTGTTTCAATTCAATTACCGTTGAGCTGAATTTACCAGCAACGAAGTCTTGATAACGTCTCATTGGGAATTGAGGTCCTACCAAGAAACTTCCAGGGAAGAACATAAGCCCGCAGTACTCCCCAAAAGAAGGTCGCTTGGTGAGAGCCAACTTCTTGCTCGTCGCAGACAATTCTCCTTCAGGTTGATTACCATCATAGTAATCAAACGCAGTTCCTATCAATCTCAAGACTAGCACGCACTGAGGCATCGTCCAATTAATATCGTAATTTAATGTACTCGAATAATAATATCCTGCGAACATACAAAAACCTTCATCTCAGTAAATCCGTTGGTATTGAAGGTACCCAATTTTTCATTACCGATGAGTAAGTAAATCATGTTAAAGAAGAATGTTATCGCCACGCAGATTTCGTTGCCACGGAAGACGACCATTGTCAGGTAGGAAAATACAACGGCGAACACTGCATGAAGAATCTCTGTACCATAATTTAAGTATCCTATACCTAAGCCTGTCACTATGAAGTACAGGTGCTGTATGTGAGCTGGTTTTCCGTAAAAGAATTTTCTGTGGATAATGGAGAGGGGATAGCCTGAAATAAAAAATAATAATCTTCAACACATTATTCTTTAATCGACGACATAAATAGCAAAATAACATTTTTGCAATGAATATAAGACCTCAATGACACTACTATTAATAGAACAATTAGTGGAAGTAATGGTCATGATATGACGCAAAATGTTGACGCTGCGTTATCTGCGTACTCTTTTATCTGTAGTATGAATTACATTACATTTAATTCAGATAAGCTTCAATTGATTCATTTAAATTCATCATGTAATGAACAAATATTAAAATATTTCTGCTCAAATTAGAGGCTTACATTTTTTTTTGAAATGCAATTAAAAGAAATGAAATGTGCAACAAATGTATGTAAAACTAAATATCATCCTGTATTTAAATTATATAATGTTTAATAGTGTTAACTATAAAAAGCGTATTATAAATACAAGATATTCGAATGTTGGCCCATGTCTGGTTAGAGGCCAAGGACGAATAAAACTTGATCAACGATTAGAATTGAAAAAAATGAATAGAGCACTTCCTCAAACTATTTTAGAACCATAAAATTTATCAATCTAAAAAACGTCTTCTGTCGTTTTGTCATTTATCTTAATTTGTATAGACAGGATGTATCAATTTACTTTAAGCATAAATTCATTACAACTATACAAAAATGTTAGGGAAAATTATGTGATACAAATAGTCACTGATTGTACTAATCTGAATAATAGATATTTACAAAAAAAAATATAAATGAAATAAACAATTGCATTTCTGTGATTAATACATCATTAATGAATGTAATTTACAAATATTTGTATAGTAAATTACATTCATTCCACTATTACTATCTGCAATATCCATCTAATAATTACATAGCAAGAAGAGAAATTGTGGTTTCTTCGAAGCTGCTTTCTCTCAATTGTCGCTATTCTTTGCAGCTCTGTTGATTTAGCTTCGACTTTCTACAGTTCGTATTGTACACATTATATAAACATTACTATATATTCGCACTTCCCTAACATAATATTTTTACAATTACGGTCAACTTTGAATTACAATACAATAGGTAACTTCCAATATTGGAAATACAATAAAGGTCAAGGTGTCACATTTTACGTTTATGACATATGCGTAATTATTTTTATTATTATTATTATTTCACAAATGAAAATAAACATAACTTATATTAATATTTTCATTCGTTACCAATATTAAGCCATAATAGTATGTATACGTATTCCATTAATAAAGTTGTATATTGTAATTATAGCGTATAAAAACTGTTTGTTAATAATAAGATTCCAAAGTCTGTTTTTCAATTTGCAAATCTGGAGCTATTTATATACGTTGAAAAAGTTATTTACATATATTTTTTCGCACATAATACCCAATTTGTTTACCACATCTCTTTTAAATTATACGAAAATTTATTATACAGTAATTTAACTTCAAATATTTGATATAGAAAATTGTAAATATTTAATGATATAAGGTAATTACTAAAGAAATTTGTATATTGAGTTGCTGTGTTTACTTATATTTTATTTTCCAGAACGTTCTTTTTTTTACGTCGAATCATCCGAGCGTTGCGTTCCGAATTAAATCTAACAATTACTAATATTTGAATTCTATGTAATTACTGTTGCCTAACTTTAATGAATGTCAATGTCAGGAAATTGCATTATTTTCATAAACAAAAATATTAGTTCACAAAAGAGCGTTTGTTAATTTAAATATTCGAAAGTTCGCTGCGTTCAACAAAGAAACTCTCGATGTTCGAAGCTCCACTAACCTAATTAGCATGTGAAACGATCACAGAATGATTCGAGGAATACAGGATGATAGGTTAAAATTAATGTTACTCACCAGCAAAGATCGAGAGGAGCAGACTCAGAGCCGCCGGACTCACCCCAACTTGCTTGCTGAGCATCCCCAACAGAGACGGATTTTCCATGACTGCTGCCTTCGGAAGTGCGAAATTTATTTAAACTACAAAAACGAAAGAAGAAATCAAAAAAATAACTATAGAAAGGAAAGGTTAGCACCGGTATGGATATTGCCGATTGCTGTGTGTAATCAAAATGAACAGAGTTGCGTATTTGGATGGAACGGTCACGCGGCCGTGCCATTAACTACCAATGCTAATTTTATCATCGGAATTGCATAATGAACGCCGTACAATATACACAGACCTAACGTACCCTTTCAGTTAATCCCAGTTTTATCGCATCATGCGATAAGAAAACAGTAACTAAATATATATACACTGGAGCCGCAACGTAAGCAACTTCAGGTTGCAGGGAAGTATGCAACTCGAAGTACTTCCAGAGGCAGCTTCATTCCGTTTACCACTGACGTGTTCAATTTGACGTTTGTTAAATTTGAAAGGTTAATATAGTTGAAGTCACAGCAGGAACATGGACTTTTTCAAATCAATTCCCACTCATATGGTAAGAACGTACCTGTGATTAAATGCATTGAATAACCACTTGTTTTCTGCAGGACTTTGAGGGTCAGGCCAGAGCCGAATACCTGTCCAGGGTTATAATTCTTCTTTTTGCGGCTGTTGGTTTGGTCTGGGGCTACATCATCCAACAGTTTTCACAGACTGTCTACATTCTGGGAGCTGGTTTTGCATTGGCTGCCTTGGTAATTAATCAACTTACAGATTCAACAATTTTTTACTCACATTTATTGATTTTTAGTTAACCATTCCTCCATGGCCCATGTACAGGAGAAAACCATTAAACTGGCAGAAGGTGAAGAGCACTGGTGAATCTAATTCCACGGAGAGCAATAAGAAGGCTAAAAGGAAGTGAATTTCTTTTCCACACAATTTTATTTGTACTTTGCATTTAATAAACTTGTATTAATTTTAAATATTTCTTATTTTGAGAATATGTAATATTAAAATTCTTTTCTGTACTGGCAATGGTGAATATTTTGTTATTTGATCAAAACATTTAAAAAACTTAATTAAAATTCAATAATTAATTAGTTAACAGTGATTATTTCTTGCCTATTAAAATAAATTTCTATAGTATTTCACAAGTAATAATAAACATAATACATTGTACACAAAGCTGGGTTATAGACTGCAATCTTTCCACTGTTACATCTAATTTAACTAAAGATAAATCTATTATAAGTTTAGTACTGTTATGTAGAAAATCCCAAATGAACAGTTATATGGAGGCCCTCAAAGTCAAACATTTTCCAATGAAATTTGCATAGGGGCCCAAACAAAAGGTTTCAAACTAAATATATTCATAATACGTCTTAGCCTACATTTGTACGATTATACATCATGGAATATTCTTGGCTTATTATACAAATTTGATTTTTTTTTTATATTAAATAAAAGAGTTAAAATAGACATGAGACAATATGTAATGTTTAGAACAATGTAAAGCACCGAAATTACAACTATGCATAGTTTAGATTAAAACACTGCAACATTCTATACATATAGTTGTGTTTTGAAGTAACTGAAGATGTTTTTAATCAAGTTGAGCATGCGCTGGTAGAAGAAGAAGAATTGAAGTGAATTGAATTGAAGATATGTTTCAAATTGGCAAAACATATATACAAATTATACATACATACATCATCAGGGCCTGATTAACTAGTATGGGGCCTGTGACATACATATACGTCAAAAATATATTTGTTAAGTGAGTGTTGATTGCCTATGATTTAAAGAAAGAAGTAAACGAATACAATATTGATGTAAAATCTTAAATAACTTTATTAAATTTCTGAATACAACTCTGTCTATATTTGTGTGGGTTGTTCATGTAAAATATAAATTATTTAGGATTATAACTAAAAAAAGTTCGAGACATTTGAACATGTGTCTATTTGCCTAATAATTTTAATATATTTTTGTTTAAACAAAAAGCATTTTCAACAATGGTTTTCAACACTTCAAGCACAGTTTCTATTAAATCATGATATCGTTGACATTGTAGTGAATTGAAATAAAATTCAAAATAGTTAATAATAAACACTTATCAAAAGTTGAAACGATCTCTGTTTACTAATATGGGGGTAACTGATTTATTTTATCCAGAAATATTGTTAAGGGATATAATCATCTTTTAACGTTGTGTTAAATTTGGTTTCTTATAAATCTAATACTGGTGAGGATGCTCTTCGAAGACGTTGAGGCTACTTACTTCGAGTACAGCTAACCTAGTGATCAGCAACACGCGGCTCCGGAGCCGCGTTCTGTTCTTTGAATAGATAATTACGGCTCCTTTCGTTATTAAACAAACAAATGCTTCTATCGGTCGCCCCGCAGACAAAATCTCTAAAATGACTCTTTAATCCAAGAGGCTTGCCGATACCTGAGCTAACCAATGAGTTATTTTATAAAATAAAAACTGTAGGAGACAAGCGGGAAAGTATACTTGGTTCAGTGTAGTCGGAATACATGAAGATCACAGATGTCCTGAACGGAAGTGTTTGAAGTATGTTTATATTCGTTACTAACAAAAAATAAGTCAAATAATTAATTTCTATAATTTATTTATTGCACACAATATAATTTATAATACAAAAATCATTTGAAACAAAGTAAACATAATTAATTGCATGTAAATATAATTTTATAATTGAAGAGTACATAATAAAAACTACAAAAATATTATTTAATTGAAACAAGAACATCATTTTTTAAATATAATCACTACAATTGTCACTAATGAAATAATCGATTTCTAAAATTACTATTAAGAAATTTAAAGAAAAAAAAACAAACTAATCTACATACAATCAAAGCACAAAAATGTTCAATCTTCACATTATCCTTTTTACAAAAATTAATTGCAAATTTCAAGATCCTCATCTCCTTTATCACAAATTGAGGAATTAGTCAAATTTTCACGCTCAGCTCTTGCCATTTCCTAAATAATATTTCTTATATCAGTATATTAAAATCTAGCATTACATATTTTACTAAAGACTACTAAAGATAAACGATAAACGACTTTAAAGCAATTTATCGAAATGTTTTATAAATTGTAGAAACATATTTCGCAACTATCGCATACTGCGTACAGATAACCATCTTGACCCACCTCGTATTCCTTTTTAACACCTATCGGAATTTCATCGAATTCCACAGTTTGTCCACTCGATAACACTTCGACGACCTGCACTTCATCTATGCTTTGAATCACTTTTTCAGCTGTTCTATTCATTGCATTTCCAATAGCTAAAGAGAATTTAAAGAAGTGCAATCTACGCATACGTTCTTAATATAACAAATGAATTAAGAATAAGCAATACCTGTAATGTTATTTTGCGTCTGCAGCTCAAATAACCCTTCCAATTCACCAGATCCATTTATATCCATTATGACTCCATGTTTCACTAATAAATTTAAATTGATATTATTTTTAATTGTTTGCAGGCAAGTGGTATTAATTAAGTATTTGAAGAAATCTCTAATATATTACGTTTGAAATATTTTACTTACGATCTTGTGCTATTTCATCAATATTTGAAGTGCTAATGCACGTAGACAGGCAATCGCTTTCGCGTCTTGGTCCTGGGCTTTCAATGTCCATATGGACAGTTCCATCTCGACATCTCTGTACGACACTGGCGACAACTGGAATGCGTATTTGCACTGTAGATCCTGCAAATATAAATGAAATTTGAGTTATCATTCCTGTCTGACGGATTCGGTCGATGCCACCAACCTCGTTTGTCATCTCCGGTCTTGAAAACGGCAGTATTATTACTAATATCAGGAGAGAGCGTGGGTAAAGCCTCCTGGAACATATCGTCATTATCGGCGGTGTTATTCTGATCTTCGTTCCGCTTAATAGTTATTTCCCCAAATTTCTTTAGGTCTTCGGCAGTCGCAGGCACCAACATCTGAAACGTATAATTTATAAGTGAAAAAAATAAACGAATGACTAATTTATGATTAATAGTTTTACTAAATTAAAATTCTCAAGATAAAATCAAACTAACCTGATTGACGCCTGCGGGTAAAATTCGCACGAGCACTGGAATCCCATTTAGTGGACGTAATAACGCGAAGGGAACTTGATTTGTAGCGACCGCATGTTTCATAGCAGCAGTATTTATCGGCGATACCAATACTCCATTGGAGTACCTAAAATTGCACAGGGTTAAAATAATACGATAGTGAAATGTGCAGAAGGGAAATTATTTACTTCACGCTCGGAATGTTGTTCGATGTGCTCGATACCACCGGATCACCATGCTCATATTGTTCATGATTCCTCAATGATATGCGTTTATCAAACTCTTTGCCGCAGCTTTGACAGGAGTATTTGGGTTTATCCGCGCGTTGATGTGCTTTGAATTTGTGGCACATCAAGTTAGACATTTGGTTAAAGCCCTTCTGACACACGTCGCATTTGTACGGACGCTCATTGGTATGGGTAAAAATATGATTCCTCAAATTTCCTGCAACAAATAGCATAATTAGAATTGCAAATAATTTAAAAAAATAATATAACTGTTACCTTTCTGATGGAAAGCTTTGTTGCATAGGTGACAGCAGTGAGGCTTTAATCCTGTGTGCGTTTTTCTGTGAGATATTAAAGTCGATACTCGATTAAAGGTCTTCTGGCACACTTCACAGATGTACGGACGTAGTTTGGAATGGATGGCTCTGTGTTGGGACAGGGTGGACATTTGGCGAAAGGCTATAAGGATGGTTTTCGGAATTTAGGAAGTTTCTTATATCGAGTTGGTTTAGACGTTTTGGGGAAATATCTAGATTTCTACCAATTATTATTACCTTTGCCACATTGCTTACATTGGAATTTTCGCTCGTCCGTGTGGGTGGGAAGATGGCGCATCAGAATGTACTGGTGTCCGAATTCCTTGTGGCATATACCGCACTCCCAGACCTTCACGTTCTTTCCGTTTTCGTCGGACTTATACTTTACAAGATGCGAGTTCATCATAGGTTCTGATTTGGGCACGACGTTGCCCAGCAGTCCGCTCAGATCGAGGCCCATCTTCGCGCTGCTTGCCTCGTTGTCAGAAACGGTTTGCATCAGCAGCTGTATCTGCTCATCCGAGAACGGGATGGTGTAGTTTGAACCTTCAGGGATACTCATAGTGTTGTCCATAGTTTCGACAACCTCAAAATTGGATATTCCATGAGCAAATTGATCCGAAGACAAATAAAATATATCCTCTTCCTTCACGGGCGCTGAAATAATACTAAAAAAAAACGGGTTAATCATAAATAATTCACATATAAAGACTGCAATAATCCAAAATTAAATTACTCGCTTAACGAGTTTAATCCGTTCCATATTTTCCGGATTTTTACTCGTATAGTGAAACATATTAAAAAATACACATAATATATGTACAAGTTTTAAGAATGATGTAGAAGGCGCGCAAGCCGAAACTTCTCTTCTCATCGTCACTCGTTATGCGAAACGTCGCTCGTTAAGCGAGTCATTTTTCTTACAATTAATTTTGCTCGTTAAGCAAAATGTTCGTTAAGCGAGGTTCCACTGTATTATTAAAAAATAAATTTAACATTGATTAAAAAAAAATTGTACCTATAAGAAATAAGTTGTATTAATTCCGACAGAAATTAGATTTGATTATTGTAGATTTTCATATTATGGGTAATTATGTTTTATAACTTCTTTTTTTTTTAAATATGGAAATTATGAAAACAATTTGTAAAATGTTCAATCTTAGATGGCGTGGCGTGGAAGTATCCAATTGGATAACAAAAGAAAGGTGAAATGCGCATGCTCGAATGTTTTCACAACGCACTATTTGGCACTATTCTTCCACGTAATTTCAGCCATATTGAACAACTACACAATTATAGGATTATATCCGCCATTATGCTTTTTTCTTTTAGAAAAGCATTTTTTTCATTTTAATGCCCAAAAAAATATTGGTATTTTTGAAGAACTAACCTAATTCTTCATAATTAAAATAATGATGGATTAGAAATATGCAAGCCAAAAAGTTGTAGTAGTTGTAGAACGGGGAAGCAAAGCTTAAAAGATGTGGGATTTGTGAAAAACATGTTTTTTCGTGAAATGAAAAGTATTCCGCAAAAAAGCATGTATAAATCAAAATGGAGAACAATGAAAAATATCACCTGCAATCCGCTGGAACCATTTGAGGGTTATTCGGGTTGTTATTATTCATGACTAGGTTCTGGGAGCTCGCCGCAAGATGCACACTATTCAAAGACAAAAGAAACTATGAAACGTTAACACAGTGCCGGTAAAATAGTTATATACGTGTATCTCCTATTGGTCTAACCCCCACCACTCAATTAAAAACAAAATCTGCACAACGATTCGAACATGTTAAATGATTATTCGATTCGGAATTTAATCGTTCTGTCAACGCGAATTCAATATATTCCGATTAGAGTTTTATTTCAACTGGATTTTGTATAATTAAGCAAATAAAGGTTATCGTATGCTGCGTTGCCAAAGCTAAACCGTGGCGCCATCTACGATTACATTTTGTACTATGATCCACGTCAAAATAATACCAGTAATTTAATCGTTAAAAATGTTCGTTAATTAATACTGACTATTCGAATATAGCAAAAAATTTCAAAGTGCTTAATTTTCGATAAGACTGGTGACTCAAATGAAATGAACTTTATAATTGAGTTGCCAAAATTATTAATACCAAACACGACTTAGTACTAACATTTGTGAAGTTAAACATTAGATATTTTCGGCAAGTAATTATTGAATGATTGGACTAGTGTTATATAAGTATAGGCGTGCCGTGCCCTTAAATCCTTTATGGACGAGCCGCTTCTGTCCTCAACTATTATCAATTTTATACGAATACTATGATATACAGATGAATATTTGTTAGTATTCACAAAGCTTGGTCAGATTTGAAAACTTTGTTTAGAAATTGTCTATTTGCTTGATAATTAATATGGCTCAGTATATGTGTGTGTGGCACTGAAATTTGTTGCAGTTCTGTCAGAGTGAAAATAAAAATGAGATAATTAATTCCACTTGGACCGTGCGAAATATATCATTCCTGTGTTACGCACACAGCAGGAATACATCATGCGCGGTTCGCGGTGCAAACATTTCACGAATAAAAAGAAAACTATCAGCTCGAATGACGTTTCGGAATAGTTTTTTTTTATGCATACGACTATAACACATATATATCATTTTGCGGGCGAATTAAAATGAACTCACGTTTTCTCCTCATTGCTCTGCTGCAGCTGCTGGAAATCTATATCTGTCACTATGAACTGATGGCCGGACATTTTTCCTTCCCTGCAATTTTCCCGTGGAAAGAAAATTTTAGCAGTATAATAACGTGTCGTCTGACAAAGAGAGTTGTCGCTGCTTCATGTCGGATCGCGGGTGGCGCAGGTCTCCGGCCCCAAAGAACCCCCATCCCGTGCACGATCCACCCGCTGACAATCTCTGAAAACTGCGTTTTTTGTTTCGTTGTTTACTTTTTTTTGTTCCGCAGGGCGGATTTCATTGTTTTTGTTTTTTATTTGCTCCTGAAATTCTAGTACTCCAGAAAATAACTTCTTCATCATAAAAGTAAAGAGACGATGAAAATGAAAGAGAAAAAAAAATGCACGTTATAATGAAGTTCCGTTTATTACCATCAATTATAAGTGTTATATAATTCGATACATGTATCCGACAGAGTCGTGAGCGTTATAAATTAGGTTTAACAGAAACATGTTCGCTACCGTCGAACACAATTGCAATCTAGGTAAATAGATGAAACCATTCAAACTTAACAAATAACAATGTGATGAAGGAAGAAAACCTGTAGATATATCAACCTTATAATATATTACATCTTACTTTCGTAATGCCAAGCAATCGGATATATATATTTATTATGTATGTATTTATATGTATATGTGTTATGTATTTGTTTGTATATATATATAATGTACTTATTTCATATCGAAGCTCTTCTTACTGATACAATTATATTTTTTTTTCTTTTGGCACAGAGCAAAAAACGTATAATCCGTGGGATATTTAAGTTACGATAATAAAGTACAGAAAATATATAGTTCATTTGATTCGATCTATCACTGGATTTATTCAGTTGAGAGCCATCGCGACGAAGATTAACATGGCGCAGTAGTAGTGTGATATTCGGTGGCCGCTGCTGACGCCCTTCAACGTCGTGGTCAAAGCCTTCTCGCGCTCCTTGAAGAGGTTCTTCGCGAGCATACGCATCTTCGTGATCTTATCGTCGAAGAGTGCTGTTGAAGAGTTTGTCGGGACGTTCACGTTGCAGTAGTTTTGGTCGCAACAGGAAACGCACATCTGAAAAAAACAAATTACAAGTTAATAACGTTTGTATCAATATATTAAACACAAGCTTTATGTTTGATTAATAGTTATTGGCAGATTGAGGAAAATATAACTAACAAAGTTTGTTTTGTATCTGTTTGTATCTATAAGGCTTACGATAATTTTACTATGGTACTATTATAGTTTTACTATGGTTGTAATTTTATTATACTATGGTTTTCTTAAGGTTTTACTACGATTCGATATAATTTTACTATGCATTTACTCACAGCCGCAGGAAGGGGGTGGTCGGAGGAGTCGACGACCCCAGGCGCATCAATCGTGGAGGCGACAACGGCGCAAGTATTAGGTAATAGTACAGTTTTCTTGAGAAGATGGGGGAGCAAATGAAATATTTGACTTCTTTGATCTTGAGGCGTTGGCGTAAACTATATATTTAACCCTAGGCGCAAAATGTCCTTGCTGCTATCTTGCATTTACTATGGTTTTATAAGTATATTTGTTGTACACATTTATGTGTAATTTATTTATTTGACGTAATAAAAATATCTTATAATAGTATAAGATAATAATTATCTTATGTTTTGGTTTATTATAGTCCATTATGTCCACTATATAAACCAGGGTTTCCCAAACTTTTCCTGAAACGGAAATCCTCAAATTTTCACGGAACACCTTGTATATTTTATAGATTGGATTAAAACACATAATCAATAAAAATTAAAAAAAAGAAGAAACATTATTTATTTGCTAATTATTTCATTCCATTTTTTCACGGAACAAAGCGGAACATAGTTTGGGAAACCCTGATATAGTCAATGCTTTAGTGTGGACCATCATTACCAGCAAGAGCCGCACCAAAACTTTTTGGTATAATAATTTTTAAAAAATCTCAATCATAATATAAAATATATATAATATTTGTGTTTTGTTGTGGCTCGTGAGTTACAGCATGGCCACCCCTGTTATATGATTTACTATATTTCACTATGGATACATAGTGGTACAAAATACAAATATAATAATTATAAGATAATAATTATCTTATGCTTTGGTTTATTATAGTCCATTATGTTCACTATATAAACCAGGGTTTCCTAAACTTTTCCTGAAACGAAACACTTCGGAAATCCTGAAATTTTGATGGAACACCCTGTATATATTATACAGTGGATAAAAGCACCTAAACAATAAAATTAAAATAAAGAGAAGAGACATTATTTATTTACTAATTATTTCATTCCATGTTTTAAAGGAACAATGCGGAACATAGTTTGGAAAACTCTGATATAATCAATGCTTTAGTGTGGACCATTATGTAGTTATGTTACAGTGGTGGCCAGACTTTTTGCAGCAAGAGCCGCACCTAAACTTTTTGGTATAATAATTTTTAAAAAATCTCAATCATATTTTATATTTAATATTTGTGCTCTTGAAGAGCCGCATGCGGCTCGCGAGTCACAGTATGGCCACCCCTGTTATATAATTTACTATATTTCACTATGGATGCATAGTGGTACAAAATACAAATATTTTTTTTTGCATTTAGTTTTTTAAATGCTCAAGAAGATTGTTGTATATTTATACAAAATATATGTTGTCTGCGCCTACTTTAAAACAATTATCAAATTTGATAGACATATTGAATGTTAACTTCAAAAAATCCAATGAATATAAGAACATTAATTAGTTTTAAATATAGAATCAGTTAATTAACAAAATAATATCTAAAATAGTTGGAACAATGATATAAAATCTACATATCTAGGATAACCGGTATAATATATTTAGTCCATTACAAATTCTAAATGTGTTTGCTATACAAACTAATGGAATTTTGCAATTTGAATGTGGTCAGTTTGCATAAATTATGTATAACGCACATAATACATTTGACCAACAGGTGGAATCTAGCAAATCTAATACGTGGTTCCTTCTTGAATCACAACTGAATTTGCATCCAAATAAACCAGATTCATGAGTGAAATACAATACATATTACAATTACCACTATTACATATACAGTAGAGTACAACAATACCTCACCTTATGGTTTTGATTAGAGTGAGTTCACGCTTTAAATAATTTGAATTGAGAAAAAATAATTAGTATACAAAATTATCTTTTATGATTGGTCCTTTTTTTTCTATACAGTCAAGTCTCCATTTATGCTGTTTATTTTTATTCGGTTCCAAAGTCTTCGATTAGTCCGGTTTTCAAAAAACTATATTAATTGCTCTAGATTATAAAGTTAATACTAATTATAATTCCATGTAAGTTTAAATTTTTGAATCAATCTAAAAAGAAAGTCAATATATTGATTGTAAATTGTTGTTTGGATAAAGATCAATTCACGCACAACGGAATCTCGATGCTCTCGCATTGATCCCTTTGCCAAAAAGCAAAGCTACACAATCTACGTTTACTGCAAAGCTATAATTGCGGACCTTACACCACATTTGGGCTATTTGAATTGCTCCAATACTATAACACCTGACTTACAGCCAATAGGATTAACAAACATTACCAGATATAATAAGAGAAAACTTATTACAAATGATTGATTGAAGAGTAATCCGAGATTTCTCAATGCTTTTAGTATAAAACAATAATTTTATCTAATTTCTACACAAAACTATACATTCTAATAAAATATTACAATATATTTTTAAATTATCTAATGATATTGGAATTGATCATTTCAATAATATGCAGAAGTTTGAAACAAAAGTACAAAACTTCAAATTGTCATAGTGCGGCTTCGATCAGTCCGGATTCACTAGACTTTAGTGACTAGAGTATGGTTTAAAAATTTCAAAAGGAACTAACTTTTAATTGAGTAAAACAAATATAAATTATAAAAATTAAAATACAAAATTATTATGATAGTTTTTTTTTCCTTACAGTATTTTTAATTTGTTTTTATACGGTTTTAAAGTTCTCGTTTAGTCCGCTTTCAAAGAGTTTCGGTGAAACTGGACAATTCTGAGGTATAATTAAAAATGAAATCATTACGAACAACACAAATAAAGCAAATTATTTAAATCAAAATATGCATATGTAAATAATGCAATAATAAATGCATGCAAGAATAATAAAATTTTAATAATAGTTGAAAATATTTGAATATTCGGTCACTTGCATATTATTATTGCAAATAAATATTGTTCATTCAAATGGAGAGAATTTGAATATTTCCTATAATAAAACAACTGAGTTTATAGTATTCAGTTCGTTATTTTATATGCAGTAAATTACTGAAATAAATATTTGTAAATACTATAAGTAAAATATTGCAATTTTTGTAATAAATATATTTAGTTTTGTTGTAAATTTTGATTAATGATATTAATTTTATAGAATAAATTTTGTTAATAATTATCCATTAAATACAGAATGCTTTTAGATTTTTAAATATAATCATCTTATGAAGTTTCACTCGTTTCAAAATTTTACAAGGTGAAACAATTTTCTCCATATAGACTAATGTAATATACGATAATGCGTTCCATTTTGCGAGTCATTTTTCGTACAATTTATTTTGATCGTTAAGTCAAATGCTCGTTAAGCAAGGTTCCACTGTACATTCACACCTCGATTAACGAATAAAAACTTCATTTTTAGAAGTAAACATATTATGACCAGAATGAGGACGAGGTTTCTTCTGAAAGATAATAAATAATTTTATAAACCTATCACTGAAAAATCATGATCTTCTGCTTTCAATAAACTTCTAACATCTTCATCATGAATACTTTCTAATAAAATTGTATAATTTTATTTTTAAATTAATATAAAATTGCGAAATTTGTTACATCCAAGCAGAAGTAACGTTAATCGAGGTATGATTGTATTTGTTTTGTATTCCAAATTTAATTGATATAAGATAAATATATTTAATTAAAATTGGTGTTCGAAGACAATAACGATTTAATTTAATTTTACACGAAATTCCATTATAAAGTTTTAGATGCATATTAACTATCTAGGGGCAGTTTAAAATTGTATGTATGCACACCTTTCTAAATACCTCGCGTGCAGTATGAAAGGCTTTGTAACTTCGTGCCACTAGTTCTGAATGTGTCGCCTGTAGCTCTATTTTGTACGTCCGTAATTAGTTTTAAAACTTTCAAATTGCAATTCTGTGCGTAAATTAGTTTGTACGGTAAACACATATACACATCATAAGAGAAAAAGTAATATAATTTTTCTCTTATGATGAAAACATTTTATTTTTGAGTATTTTAAATTGAAATTTTATTGTACATAATGTTGTAAAGTAATATCTCGTATAGTGCGGCTCTCAAAATTTCAAAACAAACCAAATTTTTAAATGTGTAAAATAAAAATTCAATTCTAAAAAACACTACATAAAATTATGTTTTTCTACACAGTTTCAAACAGTGCGGGACATTGACGGAAAAAAATGCGCGTACTATGCGAGGTATTCTTGCATATCGTTATTATTTTTGTAAAATCTTCTACTTATTTGTTTCAGTTTGTACCTAGAACCAGTTCGATGAAAATAAAGAGGAAAGAAGAAGGTGACTAAGTAAATGTTACATAATATCACAAAAAGAAATATGTGATATTTCTCAAACTTTCAACAAATAAATTACTATTATAGAAATGATAATTACAATTATCTTATTTATGAATTTCAGCAAATTTCGATCGAATTTCAACATTGATGTTGAATTCTTGTATACGGAAATTTGTAAATGCAAATAGTTTTTTAATTAAGATTATCATTATGAATTTCAGGAAATTTCAGTCGAATTCCAAGATTTTTTGCAGGATTTTTTTTTAAACACAGAAACTTTTTTCATTAACATTATCTTTGTAATTCACCACATTTCATGATTGATACACGCACTTTTCTAAATGTAGATATGCTTTTAATTAAGATAATCTGGTCCTAAATGGGCCAATAATTATTGTTAAATAAATGATCTTGATGAATTTCTGTAATTTTAGTTGAATTCCAAGATTAATGTGGAATGCTTGTATAC